GGCTGAGCGCCTGGCGGAGCAAGCCACAGCTTGACTCGATAACATCTAAAGACGAGCTCGCAAAGGCTCACGCACTGGTGACCTTTGAAGAGAGTCACGTCAAGGATTTGTGCAAGAAGCTTGGGATCTGGCAACAAGCAGATTTGCTCAAGCAAGCTGTCAGCAAATGGACAGAACTGGTGGAAGCTTTGAAACCTATGCCCGACTGACCACGAAAGCCAACGGAAAAAGAGTCCCGCGAAGGTGCTGCTGAGTACTTACTTTAAAGTGTGTTCTTGCGCTTCAAGACGTTGCTTACATTGTGCAGTTGCAGGCCGGATGGTCAAGGCGATGGTGAAGCTGAGGAGGTGTTTGGCTTGCAGCTTTGCCAGTCGTTTCAGCTGCTCCTGAGGAGAACTCTTGAAATGGATCCCACCTAGACCATCCTGAATACTTAGAGCATGTATGTTGGTTTGATTTCGAAGGGCTAATTGGTAGAAGGGTATCTGAGCCTTTCAGAAAACACGGCTTCGCAACTGGCCTAGCCGGACGGCTTAAACACTAGTTCTTGACGCGGGGCTCTCCGTGGCAGACATGAAACAAATGGACCAACGAGCTATTTCAGGCCCCTGACGTTGTTTTCTTTGTAGCCCTTTCTGTGTCGCCCCACAACATTCCCATCCTCAGCACATTGCGGAAGGGGAAGGGATGGAGAAAAAGCGGAGGCTCGTGGATCGACATGCACGACCAACCGGTGTCATTCAACGCCCGTCGGTTTCACAAAGTCGAGCCGCACGAAGGTCACATGAGGGCCGTTGCAGCATACACTCCCACAGCCTTCAAACGTTAATGAAAATTGTGAAGAATTGACATCCCTGTGGTTCCCTGTTCCAAACATACATAGTAGAGACTCGAGTCTCTGCACGTAGAAACTCAGTTTCTACCAGAATCTGCCCGAAATCAGGCGGACTCGACCCAATCAATCGAAGAAACTCCGACCCCGCCAGGCCACACCATGGCCCAAAGGATTTTACGCGCATTTTTTGACCCTTCTAAAAGCCAGCCCTAAGCCCTCAGGACCGCCTTTTCGAACGAGTTCCCGCCAAATCAGGGAAGAAGGACTTGCCCCCACAACCAAACAGCCAGAGGCCACGCCACAACAGAGGCCAGTTTTAAAATACAGATACAAGAGCGAGAGCAGCAGGGAGGGAAATCGCGAACCTGAAGCCTATCGGGTTTCAGGACCCGGCATGAAGTACAAGAGCGAGCCTGAAGCCTATGGGCCTGCGCGACCTGGGAGCAGCACGCAGATAAATCGCAAACCTAAAGCCTATGGCCTATGGGCTCTCCGGACCCGGGAGCAGCAGGGAGAGAGATCTCGAGCCTGAAGCTTCTTGACCTACGGGACCTGCGAGCAAGGCGGAGAGCTATCACGAGCCTATCGGCTCTTAGGACCTGAGAGCAGCAGAGATGTGTGAGCAGCACGCAGATAAATCGCAAACCTGAAGCCTATGGGCTCTCCGGACCCGGGAGCAGCAGGGAGAAAGATCTCGAGCCTGAAGCTTATTGACCTGCGGGACCTGAGAGCAAGGCGGAGAGATGTCACGAGCCTATCGGCTCTCACAGGACCTGAGAGCAGCAGAGATGTGACTTCGACCAACGCCCAAACATGTCTTCATCCTGAACCTTTGAGGGAAGGAGCTGCATCAGTGTTTTTGGTTCTTGACTTGCATATAAGCCAAAGAAGAGCTTCCTCACGACTGTCATATGCCAATAATTACGTGCGCATTTTATCAGGTTGCACGGCTTGTTGCCTTTGTATCGTCTTGCGCAAACTGCCCATTCTGTGACAGGTTTGCAGTCGCAAAAATCTGACGCTGCGCGGGGCAGTTGAGGGACCACAGTATGCCAAGCAATGGACGCCGCATCTATTGACAGGCATCTTGGGCACCTTGCCTGCAGTCTCACTGCCCGGCCAGGAGGGCGCCCGCCCTCCTGCGCTGTGGCAAGCAGAAGCAGTGGGTAGACCTCTCACACTGATGCCTCAAGATTTTCAGAAGGCCCAGAAATGATTAGGCCTCTCAAACTGCTGTCCCAACTGTTGCCTGAAGGCCCAGAAGTGATTAGGCTTCTCAAACTGTTGCCTCAACCTTCCCTGGAGGGCTCAGAGCGATTAGGCCTCTCAAACTGCTGCCTAAAACCTTCTCCGGAAGGCCCAGCAGTGAGTAGGCCTCTCAAACTGCTGCCTAAAACTTCTCCAGAAGGCCCAGAAGTGATTAAGCCCTGCAAACGGCTGCCGGAACCTTCGCCATAAGGCCCAAAAGGGATGTGAGGAACTGCTGCTTCGACCTATCCCAGCAGGTCCAGAAGTGACTAGGCCTAGCATATTGCTGTGGGTCCCGCATCAGGTGTAGTCACGGGGTAAACCTGCTTGAAGTGCTCTCAAAAAATCGGCCGCTGCGCGGGGCTCCGAGTTCTAAGGCCCCTTGCCTCTCACACTTGACGCGCGGTTGGCTGCAGACCGCCTTGTGGGCCTCAAACTGCACCAGGCTAAGCACGCCAAGCCGATAGGCTCCCGGTACCTGGGAAGCACACTGCCCAAGTGCCAGCCAGCAGCCTTTGGGGCTCTTGCGCCGTCTCAAAAATCGGCCGCTGCGCGGGGCTGTAACAATATGGCCTCTTGCAAGCAGCGCTCCAGGCCTGCCCTATGGCCATAGCACGTGAGGACGCCCGGACTCACACAGCGCAGACTGCAGCATAGTGTAGCCACACCAGCCCCTTGTCTGCCCCCGCTCGTCGGGGGGGGAAAGGGGCGCCTTTTCTGGCACTCTGTGTGCATTGTGCTTAGTGTACTTGCAACTTTCTTGCCAACCACAATGGAGTCCTGAGTGTTATTGCTACGGCCCTGGCGCTTGTGTGGGGACTGTCTCTACGGACGCGTTGAGCAGTTTAGGTGACGGAGGTTCCTTGCCTTACGGCCTACCCATACTTTCGCTTAATGTCTGTACCAGACGTGGCGCAGCATTGCTTTGGGTGACGGGCTGCTGAGTGAGTGGTGCAGGTAGGTTCTTGTTTGCATTGGTCTCACCATGCTGGCCGGCCGTTAAGTTGTCTTGCAATACGGGCCTCTGCGCTAGCGGTTGCTTCTTTGTAGTCACGACTTCTTTTTCACTCGCTGGCTTGTACAGTTTGACGTTTGGCGCTTTTGGTTTTGGCGGGTTGTGGTTGTGTTTTGTGGTGGTTTTGGTGTGTGTTTGCTGTGGTTTTCGCGCCTGCGTCTGTTTCACCTTTAGTGTTGAGAAACACAAGAACGGCCTACTGCGCTGCTGATGTAGTAAAGAGGTGATGGTGCAAAAAAAAGGAAGAAAGACAACACGTTACATGCCAGTCGAATTTTTCGAGAATCGCAAGTTCTCGAACTGTGAGATTTCTGTGATTTCGTAAGCCGCGTAGTGTTGCATTTTTCGAGCCATCCGGAACGATGCAGACGTCTATCAGCAAACAGCAGTCCATCTGCGAGGTTCCAGTCTGATGTGATGCAAACAGTGCACCCTCAATTGGGATGGGAAGCAAAAAAGTTGCGGAAGACCGTATTTAGAATTTTGAATTGAGGTGGAAAGCAAAAGAGCCGAAGCAGCCTTAAAGAGTTCGAAGAGACCTGCAGCCCTTTTTTTTTTGGAGGTAATTTGCAGTTGCATTGCAAAGAAGATGTCTGGCTGACTGAACCTAAAAACCCTTCGAACTTGAAAGAACAAGATTTTCTGTCTCACTTTGGATTAGAAAAACAAAACGCGTGAATATGTGTGCTTGGCTGACCAGACTGGTCTTTGGGTTGGCACCAAGACAAGCAGTCTTGCAGTCTTGCAGCGTTTCAGTTTCCAGATGATGCACGCCCAACATTCAGAGAACACAGATCAAACAACGGTGGAAGTGCTTGACGACTAATTGCATGTTTTTCGGTGATTTGATCTTGGATTGGTGTGCGTGTACAGATTTTTTGGAATGATGAAAGTTGTTCGTTTATTGTTGAACGTTGTTTTAGCCGGAGAAGAGAACAAGGTCAGTCGAGTGAAGGTCGCACCCTTCGCCTGAAACCTTTTTCCGGGCACAGTCTCTAGAAATGCTCTGCAGAGCGGTGTTGGACTTAGAACCCAAAAGCCTCCGAGGCTGATAGACATGTTTCACCGTTGTTTGTCGGCGAAGGTAGGATGTCAGCCCAGTAGCAAGAAAAGTGGGAGTGGACGTTTTTGCAGCAAACTGGGATTTAAGGGAACTTTTCTCGTTTTGTTCGTTCTCTCGCTTGAAAGTATGGATTCCGCAAGCATGTGCAGTTCGACAGCGAAACATGCTAGCATTGGAGAACGAAGACGATTACTTGGTAGCCCAACCAAAACTTGTGCTGTACTTTTTCGTTTATTTTCAATAGACTTTCCCAAACTTTCATTCATCGCGAATACTTGTAGCACTGCCGTCACGTCAAAAACAGAGATCATCACAACAGTAACTTTCTGCTGTTAAGCTCATTTAAAGCAGAGAATACTGGTTTCGCCAATATCATCAGTTTTCTCGCCGTTATGGACTCAGCAGTTCAATTGCTGTGAGTCATTTCATGGCCTGTCTGGTTCAGCAAACGACAGCGTGCCTGGGGGTGTAAGAGAAGCTGGGAATCTTAAAATCTTAGGCCTGTGTTGTTTTTAGGTTTGCTGCTGCCTTAGGAAGTGGCGGCTTTTGATCCGTCATTCGGTAGTCACGTGAAACCAAGTGTGCAACCTGGCTGAGCATCGACATCAGATAGCATCTTGTAGGTTTTGTCAGCATATATGGTCAAAAGTTTCACGTTCATCTTTCAGAATGCTGCGCGTGCAGGCTCGAGAGAAACCCTTTGCTCGGGCAGTTGTGATGGGTGATGTTAGGTTCAGATTGGGGTTGTTGCTCCAACGTCGCTCCGGATTATATGTCGAAATATTACGTGCGCAACTTGTGTTTGTAGAAAGACTTCGTGTTGCAAACGACTTGGACCCATGCCGATCGCATGTGCGAGGAGGCAAGGGTGTTGGCTTGCATGGCGCTGATGAACGGCAACCACCGTGAAGAGCCCGAAAACCTTGATTGCGGTTGCAGCGATTGACGCACCCAAGACCATGCAGTGAACCTCAAACCCCAAACCCCAAACCCCAACCCAAAACTCAAAACCCAAAACCTACTACACGTTAAGCCCTGAACGCTTTCAGCATCCACCAACCTTTAGCCCGGAGTAAGTCTAAAGTTGCACGGTATTCTGAGGCGCTCATTTGCAGGATTGTGGGGCCCCGCTCGAGACTTTCGCATTTCGACATTGGCTCTTGGGTGTTTATGCTGTTCAGGGTTTGGACTTTCGTTTTTTTTTGGGGGGGGGAAATCCTCTCCTCAACCCCATGAGAACTCCGAGAGGTGCTTCTTCGCTTGGATCCTCTTCTGCCTGGCCGGGGCAGACTCTGATCTGTGTCTGGTGCAGCTGCAGACTGCCTTGACCTCCTCTGGTGAGCCGGAAGTCGAACCAATCCCAGGCGCCAAGAAAAAATGAAGTGTCAACCGAAACCCCCTAAACGCTTCGGTCCTTTTTTGGCATCCACTGGGGCCTGCCCTGAGGCCCCCCAGTTTGGGAAAACGGCATCCACTACTTGGCGGTCGCCTACCACAAGAGCGGGGTGGATCTGATGAGCCTTGCCGTCTCAGACCCCAAATCACAAAAGCCCTGAAACCCCGTCGCCGCAATCCTCCGAAGAGCCACCCAGGAAAGGCTTGCTGCAGGACATCTTCCACGCCCTTGGTGCCCCGGATGAAGCCCTTGGGAGGTGGATTCGCCCGTCACCTGGCCGCCGTTGGGTTTGTGAAAGGGATGCTTACGTTGTTTTTTCTTTTTGTGGTGGTTTGGGGTTGAAGTGGTCTACGTTGTAGGAGTGCGGGATAGTTTACGGGGTGGGGTTGAGGGTTGCCAGGCCTTCCTGGTTGCAGACCTCGAATGGGTCTTCAGCTACAAAACGCACCCGTGTGGGGGACGCTTTTTGACCTGGAGGGTTCTTTGAATTCGGCCCCCGGGGTTGCACATGTATGCCATACCGACAGCCGGGGCCGGCGCTCCAGTTCTCCAGGGTTTAGGTTTAGCGTTTAGGGTTTAGGGTTTGGGGTTTTGGGTTTAGGGTTTAGGGTTTAGGGTCTTAGTCTTTAGGGTTTAGGGCGTAGGGTTTAGGGTAGGGTTTAGGGTCTTAGGGTGCCCTTGAAAACCTTGAACCCTCAACCTGGAGCGCGATGGGGAGTAGATTTTAAGTTCTGACTGTTCCTGAAGCTCCTTCGAACACGGAGGCCTTAACACTCGGGGTGGCCCCAAACCCTAAGCCCTAAACCCTTACAGCCAAAACACTAAACCCTAAAGCCTAAAGCCTAAACCCTAAACCCTAAACCCGAAACCCTAAAACCCCAAAACCTTCTAAACCTTCATGCCCCGTGCACAGGTGCTACCCCTTAAGCTGCGCCAACTTTGCCGCGCCCGCCCGGGTATTGCTGGACATGTACACGCCGGCCTTGGAGGCCGGCTCCCACACGACCCTAAACCCTAAACCCCCCAGCCCTAAACCCTAAACCCCAAACCCTAAACCCTAAACACTAAGCCCTAAGCCCTAAACCCTAAACCCTAAAACGCCACGGCCGTTTAGAAATCTCAGGGCTTAGAAAGTGCAGGACGTTTGGGATTCAATTGATTCTTTTGGAATCAGAGTGAGGAGGTGTCAAGGTTAGGTCCTCAGAAGATTGGGCGGTCATAGGCTGAGAATGTTTAGGGTTCGGGTGGGCCTTCAGAATCTTCAGGGCTTAGACTTCTGTTTGAGGTTAGGGGTTTAGGGGTTTAGGGGTTTAGGGTTTAGGGTTTAGGGTTGAGGGTTTAGGGTTTAGGGTTTAGGGTTTAGGGTTTAGGAATTTGCGGTTTGCGGTTCGCGGTTTCGATTCTATACAATATACGATGCCTATGAACCCAAGCAGGCCACCACTAACCCTAAACCCTAAACCCTAAACCCTAAACCCTAAACCCTAAACCCTAAACCCCAAACCCGAAACCCTAAACCCTAAACCCTAAACCCTCTACTCTCTAAACACTAAACCCTAACCCTAAGCCCCCCGATTCCCATGCCAAGGCGGAGGAGAGGGCGGCTGCGCCGCAGGGCATGCGCGTGGCAGGAAGCGCCCCCCAGCCTGGCAGGGTTTAGGGTTTAGGGTTTAGGGTTCAGGGTTTCGGGTTTAGGGTTTAGGGCGAGACCTTCTGTGCCTGGTTGCGGCAGGGTTTCCGTGGGCTCCAGCGTTTCGGGGTCCTTGCTGTTGGGGGCTTCTTTGTTATGGAGTTTGGGGCTACTGGGTCTGTAGAAGCTCTAAGGTTTCAGGGGTGGGTTTTCAGAGGACTGAGGGTTCAGGGCATTCGGTGGTTCCCTGCGCCTTCAACCCCAAGCATTGCACACCGTGCATATACATATATCTATATATACATATATATATGTATACATATATACATACACCGTTATAAAGGGTTTCAAAAAGTCTGAACCCTAAACCCATACTGGCGGCCCCTGAATAGTGAGCCCCCCGAAAAAAGCAGAGGTTCGTGACCCCCTGGACATGGTGGCCTCGGCACCTGGACTCGCCTGGGCTGCTGCTTAGGGATGTAGGGTTTAGGGGAGTTTAGGGGAGCTTAGGGAAGTTTAGGGCTTAGGGAATCTAAAGCCAGGGTTTAGGGTTCAGGGTCTGAAGTTCAGGGCTTAGGGTTTAGGCTCTACCCCGAAACCTTCAAACCTGAGCTCTGGGAGTCCACCAGCTTCAAGAAGCCTCATGAGCTGTTGGGGTACACCCAGTAGCCACGAAGACCCCTGCCATGGGAGAGGGCCGGCTTGCTTGGGCCTTTGGGTTTGGAAGGTCCAGGTGTCGTTTTTTTGAAGGCCGCCAGCCCGGACCTTTCCTCTGCAACGCCAAGCTGTCTGGCCGAATGGCAGCTGACGAGCGAAAGCCGCACTTTTCAGAACAACTGATCCAGCATCCAAATCGTTTCTGTCCTTGTGGATATGCGGGAGCAGCTGCAGACTGAACGTCCTTTCTTTTTTTTTCTTTTCTCTCTCCCTCTCTCTCTCTTGCGGCCCACAGCTGTAGACATGCCTCGTCATGGGTTGCTCTAAGCGCTGAAGCCTGAGCCATCCACACCCAACACGCCCAGAAGCCTACGCCCCCAACGGTCTGAGCCCCAAACCACGGTCCCTCCCGAAAGAGTGCAGGCATACTGTTACCACGTTCGTGGCCGGGAGATTCTGCACCTGGGTTGGCACTCGGGTCTTGGGGGGGTGGAGGGTTTGAAGAGGGGAGACCTAAGTAATCTAAGCTCTAAACCGCTTTACTCCTTGAAGTCCAACACCCAGAAGAGTTAAGGGTTTCGTAGGGGTTTACTGTTCCGAGTTTAGGATTCACCCCACAAGTGGGGGGATTGTGGCGAATTTCGGAGTTTATCGGGCTTGTCCCACTCCCCGCGCTGAGGAACGTCATGGCCCTCACCCCGCTTGTGATGTTCATGGACGTCCAGGATGCTTGGGGTGTGGGTGCGCGTGTGGGTGGGGGGGGGGGGGGGGGTCGGGGGTTAGGGTGTATGTCTATGTATATATATATATATAAATATGCACATGCAGGGCCTTTGTTTTTCAACATGGGTGAGAGGGAGTTTGTGTGTGTGTGTGTATGTGCATCTGCATATCAATGTCTGTTCATGCACCAAAACATGTATTATTTCTGTGACAGATACATAGAAGAAAAAAAAAATATATATATATATATACATATATGTATATATATATATACACACATGTTCATTCCTTCCCATTCGTGATACCAGTTGCAAAGATCCTGCCTGACATCGCTTTCGGTTTTAGTTTCAGCGTGACGGGCGCCTGTCAAGCCCGAAATTCCCCAAATTCCCCTAATTCTAAACCCTGCAAACCCGAACCCCAAACCCGAGTGAATGATTCATAGTTCATAGCCCATAGCAACATACATTTTGTGCCCCCCCCCCCCCCCCCCCCCCCCCCCCCCGCCACCCCCCCTCCACCCTCCTAAATAAACTTGAGAGGTTAAGGATTGGTGAAGCCGTGAGCTTCTTGTCAGTGCCGCCCTTTCGTGAGGCAGGGGTCGACTTCCTCGCTGGACGGATGCTGCAGCTGGTGGAGGACATGGCAGCCGTCTTTGCGGCGCCTGCCAACGACACTCATCGAGTGGACTACGAGCGCATGACAGGCAGACTCGAAAGATCCCCAAAAAGACGTGAGAGGCGTTTCAAGGTTCTTCCCCAGAAAACACACACTGCGCAAAAAAGCACTGAACCCTAAGAACTGCAGACCCTGAACCGCAGACCTTACATTGAAACTCCTCAACTCTGGAACCTGCACCTACGGATTAGGGGCCCTAGGGTGCACTAGCTTGAGGCTTGTCTTGTGCGGCAAGTCAGGTTCCTAGGGAACGTTGGCCAAAGCTGGCCTAAACTCAAGAGCACGTAATGGCTCGACAGGGCAGTCGCATGCAACATAAGGCCCGGAGCAGTAGCCAGCAAGACCGATGCAACAGGCCGGCAGTTGTACCGAAGACCTTCCACGTTGCGGTGCATCCTGCACAACATCGAGACCACACCGTGCGGAAAGCGGGACATGCAACCAGCACTAGGGGAGGGTGGAAGTCAGAAAGCAAAAGGCACCACCTCCAAGGCACCATGAACTACCACATGCAACCTTCTTGTCGCAGAGAACTGCGTTTTCATGCGGTTTGACGTGCCTGTGAACTCGATGTCCGGAACGGCCCCTACCAACATGCGACTGCTATCATGGGGTCTCGCCTCCAAGTGACAGGCCGACTCCTGCTGTATGCTGTCCACGCCAGCAAGGATCAGATCGTGCAGTTCGGTAAAGAGCAGCGTAACAGACATTTGGGTGCTACTGTGAGTTGCGGTGGTATTCGACGCCACGACACTGCACACTCGTGGCGCACGTACCCTTCCGAGTGCATGGCCAAGTTTGCTCACAGCAATCGCAAGGCCTTGCAAAAGCGGCAGGTCGCTGTAATCCGAGCGCCGCCATCTTGTGGCCTTGAATTGGTTCCCACCTCCCGTTGAGCCCTGCAGGTGCTCATCATTAAAGTAGGTTATAGACTTCTACTTAGGGTAGTAAGTACACATGAGCCTCCAAGTATACTCCGCAAGGCACAGGCCAGGATTGAGTGAGTGCCACGTGTGCTTGTTGTCGTGATGTGAGTTCCAGAGCCACCACGAAGCCTGCAATGTTCCCCCCGTCAACCTAAACCCCAAACCCTAAACCCTAAATCCTAAACCCTAAAGCCCAAACCCTAAATCCCAAACCCTAAAGGCTCCTCCGTTGGCTTCGATGTTGAGCTCGACAAGCTCCTGACCTTCTGGTTCGAGGGCGAGCTGGCTGCAGCTTGATGGGCCCTGTGCCTAGGTTAAGGTTTCAGGGTTCAGGGTTTAGGGTTCAGGGTTAGGGACGCTCCTCTCATGATCCCTGTATCATGAACCCTAAACCCTAAACCCCAATTTGCCGACCAGTGTGCCCAAAGAACCCTGTTCTATTTACATCGGTCGCCGGTAAAACAAATCAGGGGTGCCTATTTTGGGGTCCTTATAAACGGGGATTCTGGATTTGGGGTTCTGTACAAGGGGTACCCATGCCCAAATCAAACCATAAACCTGGACCCCCAAAGCCCCCGCTCCAGACCGCCTGACGGACGCCGAGTGGGCCGCAGCGCTCTCTGCGGGTAGGCGGCAAGACCTCCACAGCTGCCAAGCCTGGTTTGAGGGTTTTGACCCACCAAACCCCAAAAGAAGGTTCAGGGGCTTGACCCGTTAAGACGTCCTTTCAGGTGCAGCAGGTGCACCAAATAGCGGTGCCCTTGAGCCCTTTTTCAGGGGCTCTCGCTTTCTGTTTGGGGATCTCAAGAGTTTCGGGCTTAGGGTTTAGGGGGGGGGGGCTGTTCTCTGCAGCTCAGGACATCCGCCAAAAGATCACCGCGGCCTCCTCCACACCAACAGCCCAGACTGCATGGCCCAAGCCCGGCTCGCCACACGCTCCATTCCAGAGGACCCCATCAACCCCCCCTGAGCGCCTGAACCGTTTTTAATAGAGGGGTCGGAATAATTACTAATAATCTTCCCTTTTTTGTCCCTTTTTTCTTGTACTACAATAACCCCCAAAACCCTGTTCTAAGTACGGACCCCTATAATACGGGGTGTAGGGTTCAGGGGTATAGGGTACACCATGAACTTGTTGCGGTACAGGACCTGCGCTCCCGCTATCAAGCCCTTCGGCGACGCCTGGGATATTCGACAGGATGAGGGCGCTTGCCGAGGTGCCGCAGCGGAGGCAAAAGGAGGTCATATACATATACATATACAGATACGTATCCTTTATCTACTTATTTCTGTACCAAATCTTCTTATTCATTTCCCATGTGTGTAGTGCTGTTGTCATCGATGCGGCCATGCATTTGCTATGTGTGTATGCGCGTGTTGTGTGTAAGACGCAGAGCCAAAATGCAGAATGTATATGTATATGTATATGTATATGTATATGTATATGTATATGTATATGTATATGTATATGTATATGTATATGTATATGTATATGTATATGTATATGTATACGTACATGTACATGTACATATGTACATGTATATACACGCATTGATGCTCGAAGCAGGAAGATATCTTTAACTAACACGTAGCAGCAATGCTCACGCGCGAGTATTGACTGAACACACGCACGCGCACACACACACACAAACACGCAGACAAAACACGCAGACACACAGACACACACAGAGACACACAGAGACACACAGAGACACACAGAGACACACAGACACACACAAACACACACAGAGACACACAGAGACACACACAGACACACACAGACACACACAAACACACACAGACACACAGAGACACACACAGACACACACAGACACACACAGAGACACACACAGAGACACACACAGAGACACACACAGAGACACACACACACACACACAGACACACACAGACACACAGAGACACACACACACAGACACACACAGACACACACACAGACACACACACAGAGACACACACAGAGACACACACACAGACACACACAGACACACACAGAGACAGACACACAGAGACACACACAGAGACAGACACACAGAGACACACAGAGACACACAGAGACACACAGAGACACACAAAGACACACAGAGACACACACAGAGACACACAGAGACACACAGAGACACACACACAGAGACACACAAAGACACACAGAGACACACAGAGACACACAGAGACACACAGAGACACACAGAGACACACAGAGACACACAGAGACACACAGAGACACACCGAGACACACAGAGACACACAGAGACACACAGAGACACACAGAGACACACACAGACACACAGACACACAGACACACAGACACACATACACACAGACACACAGACACACCGACACACAGACACACAGACACACAGACACACAGACACACAGACACACAGACACACAGACACACAGACACACAGACACACAGACACACAGACACACAGACACACATACACACAGACACACAGACACACAGACACACAGACACACAGACACACAGACACACAGACACACAGACACACAGACACACAGACACACAGACACACAGACACACAGACACACAGACACACAGACACACAGACACACAGACCCACAGACACACAGACACACAGACACACAGACACACAGACACACAGACACACAGACACACAGACACACAGACACACAGACACACCGACACACAGACACACAGACACACAGACACACAGACACACAGACACACAGACACACAGACACACAGACACACAGACACACAGACACCCAGACACACAGACACCCAGACACGCAGACACGCAGACACGCAGACACGCAGACACGCAGACACGCAGACACGCAGACACGCAGACACGCAGACACACAGACACACAGACACACAGACACACAGACACACAGACACACAGACACACAGACACACAGACACACAGACACACAGACACACAGACACACCACACACAGACACACAGACACACAGACACACAGACACACAGACACACAGACACACAGACACACAGACACACAGACACACAGACACACAGACACACAGACACACAGACACACAGACACACAGACACACAGACACAAAGACACACAGACACATACACACATACAACACAGACCCACAGACACACAGACACACGACACCCAGACACACAGACACAACAGACACACATACACAACGACAACACGACACACAGAACACAACAGACACACAGACACACAGACACACAGACCACAGACACACGAACACAACACAACAGACCACAGACACACAACACACAGACCACACAGACACACAGACACACAGAACACAGACACACAGACACACACACACACACAGAACAGACACACAGACGCACAGACACGCAGAACCACAGACACACAGACCAGACACACAGACACACAGACACACAGACACACAGACACACAGACACACAGACACACAGACACACAGACACACAGACACACAGACACACAGACACACAGACACACAGACACACAGACACACAGACACACAGACACACAGACCCACAGACACACAGACACACAGACACACAGACACACAGACACACAGACACACATACACACAGACACACAGACACACAGACACACAGACACACAGACACACAGACACACAGACACACAGACACACAGACACACAGACACACAGACACACAGACACACAGACACACAGACACACAGACACACAGACACACAGACACACAGATACACACACACACACACACACACACACACACACACACACACACAGCGACACAGAGACACAGAGACACAGAGACACAGAGACACAGAGACACAGCGACACAGAGACACAGAGACACAGAGACACAGAGACACAGAGACCCAGAGACACAGAGACACAGAGACACAGAGACACAGAGACACAGAGACACAGAGACACAGAGACACAGAGACACAGAGACACAGAGACACAGAGACACAGAGACACAGAGACACAGAGACACAGAGACACAGAGACGCAGAGACGCAGAGACACAGAGACACAGAGACGCAGAGACGCAGAGACGCAGAGACGCAGAGACGAGACACAGAGACACAGAGACGCAGAGACGCAGAGACGCAGAGACGCAGAGACGCAGAGACGCAGAGACGCAGAGACGCAGAGACGCAGAGACGCAGAGACGCAGAGACGCAGAGACGCAGAGACGCAGAGACGCAGAGACGCAGAGACGCACAGACGCACAGACGCACAGACGCACAGACGCACAGACGCACAGACGCACAGACGCACAGACGCACAGACGCACAGACACACAGACACACAGACACACAGACACACAGACACCACACAGACACACAGACACCACACAGACACACAGACACCACACAGACACACAGACACACAGACACCACACAGACACACAGACACCACACAGACACACAGACACCACACAGACACACAGACACCACACAGACACACAGACACCACACAGACACACAGACACCACACAGACGCACAGACACCACACAGACGCACAGACACCACACAGACGCACAGACACCACACAGACACACAGACACCACACAGACACACAGACACCACACAGACACACAGACACCACACAGACACACAGACACCACACAGACACACACACACACACACACACACACAAGACACAGACACACAGACACCACACAGACACACAGACACCACACAGACACACAGACACCACACAGACACACAGACAAGACACAGACACACAGACAGGACACAGACACACAGACAAGACACAGACACACAGACAAGACACAGACACACAGACAAGACACAGACACACAGACAAGACACAGACACACAGACAAGACACAGACACACAGACAAGACACAGACACACAGACAAGACACAGACACACAGACAAGACACAGACACACAGACAAGACACAGACACACAGACAAGACACAGACACACAGACAAGACACAGACACACAGACAAGACACCGACACACAGACAAGACACCGACACACAGACAAGACACGGACACACAGACAAGACACAGACACACACAGACAAGACACAGACACACAGACAAGACACAGACAACACACAGACACACAGACAAGACACAGACACACAGACACGACAAGACAGACAAGACACAGACACACAGACAAGACAAGACAAGACAAGACAAGACAAGACAAGACAAGACAAGACAAGACAAGACAAGACAAGACAAGACAAGACAAGACAAGACAAGACAAGACAAGGCAAGGCAAGGCAAGGCAAGGCAAGGCAAGGCAAGGCAAGGCAAGGCAAGGCAAGGCAAGGCAAGGCAAGGCAAGGCAAGGCAAGGCAAGGCAAGACAAGACAAGACAAGACAAGACAAGACAAGACAAGCCAAGGCAAGGCAAGGCAAGGCAAGACAAGACACGACAAGACAAGACAGTACTTTTTACCCAAATTGTATCCATATTAGGGCACTTAAGGGGCTTCTAAGTGGGTTAGTATGAGTTTGCCAGAGCAACGCTTTGAAGCCCTAAACTTGGCGATGCGGACCAGGACTGAGCTGAGAGACCTGCAAAGCCCCAAATGAGATCCCAAAGCCCCCCAAAACCCTTATAGGTAGTCCACCAAGGATTTGGGGCTACACCATGACCCCTGAAACCCCACCCAAACCCCCAGGCAGGGTTAATGGTTTGGAGTTCCGCAGGTTGGCTCTCCGCCCCATGGCCAGCTCGCCTTGTGCGCGGGGGAAGGTGCGCAGAACCTGCACACCGCGTCGCATCGTACCTAGCAGCAAAGGTGTGCCTTCAAGAAGTTGCAGAGCAGAGCCAGGTCTGTCTGAAGGATCCCATTTGTGCCGCAGCAGATGTTGAATCGAGATCTCCCCTGCCAGCGCCCCCCCTCTCCAAGCGCAGCCTTTTCGTCCTATGGCTGGAACGGTTGAGGTCAAGATTGCCGAATGCAAGGCTCATCGAGGGCTGTTGGGGATCTCACGGGTATAGCTCCCATTGCTGAGGGCATCGCAGTGTCTGCTTCTTTGGCATGCAAGAGCTCCCCTCGACTCCCACACGTCGCCCTCTCAACTCTGAGCCCTAAACCCAAGCCGCTAAACCTTCAACCCTGCATAACCCTGCAGACAAGCCCTCAGCCCCTTGTCCGTGTCCTGTTCTCCGCAGGCTGTCTGGCGTTTGGATGCCGCCGCTGTGAGCCAAGTGCAGCATCCAAACTGCCTCATGGGTGGCCCCTTCCACTTCCTGGACCACCTGGTTGAGGCGAGTTTGGAGTTTAGAGCATAGGGGAGCCACAAGGGACCTCTTCCTTCGCAAGATACGTGCCAGGTGCACTTCTATCCACACGGCGACCCTCGCTACACAGCAGAGCAGTTCAAGGGCCATTCAAGCCTGACCCTTTTCTCCGATCAGCCGTTCAAGCTGACCCTTCATTCCAACGAGACCAGACTCTGGAGTGGGACCTTGCAGGACAAGCAACGTGTCCACGAGAGCCTGCGCCCCGCATCGAGTCGAACCAAGTTCGGACTCGTTTCTGCAAGCTTCCCCTCGAGTGCTTTTGAGGGTGGCAAGCTCGTGGAGTTCACTGTCTGCTTCCACGGCATTCCAGGCGCTTCCATATCGCTGCAGGATCAAGCCCTGCAGTTCCTGGAGACTTGGCCCGAGTTGGGGTTCAGGGTGGCTTTGAATGGTGTAGAGGGTTTAGGGATCTTTTTGTTGTGGAAATGGAAGTGAAGAATATCCTCTGGAGTAGATTCGTTTCTCTACCGCAAGCAGGGGAGGCAGCTTGACTCCACGAAGAAGGAGTACGCGGTGCTCCAGGACCAGAAGCTAGGATCCCAGTAGTGCCATCTTTCCCCATAGGTGTTTTGGTTTAATGTGGTTCTACAGTTAAGGCTGCCATGGCAAATTTTTCTTGTATGTTGCTTACTTGCCTGAAACCCCCCTGGCCTACCTCCTAGATGCCCTAGAACAGAAGGCACTTGTTGGAAGTGGGCTGTAGAATTGAGTTTAGGCCTAACCCTGAAAGGAACAGGTTTGGTCTTGCGGCCTGAGACGGCGTGGGGTGGGATAAAAATCTTAGACTTCCCTCCACTATCAGGGCGACTGCTCTTCGCATTTCACGAAACGAAGCTTTCGAAGCGAGTCTGCATCCCAACCTTCACAGCTTCTGCGCCCTTTCACAGCAAACCTTAAACCTCCCAAACCCTAAACCTTAAACTGTAAACCCTAAACCCTAAACCCTAAACCCTTGCGAACCCTGCAAGGAGATCTTGGGTGGACCCAAAGCCCTAGAAGGAGATGTCGGGGGCAAACCCTACCTTTAATAGGAGGTGTTGGGCAACAATACTTAGTAACAAGTAGTAAATACAAAGGAGAATAGGAAGTAAATAGTAAATAGGTAGTAAACAAACAGTTAATACATATTCAGTAGTAGTACTAAACCGATAACAAAGAAGCAAAACTTAAAGTCGTTTGCAGGGCACCGTTGAAGAACGAGTTTGTGGGAGGCCCCTCGAAACATGTCGGCTGCCCTAAGCCCTAACACCCCAACAAGGGTTCCCTAAAACCCCAAACCCCAAACCCCAAACCCCAAACCCCAAACCCCAAACCCCAAACCCCAAACCCAAACCCCAAACCCCAAACCCCAAGCCCTAAACCCTAAACCCTGAACCCTGAACCCTAAAGCCTTGGTTGGGGCGGGTTAACCGAGGAAGAACGACCAGACGTCCGAGCTCCGCCGCTCGACGCAGGAAGCCGAGCAGCTCCGGGCACAGCTCGAGTCCAGCAAGCAGGAGCTGCGGTTCATGATTCTTTACAGGATTGGGGTTTAGGGTTTAGGGTTTAGGGTTTGGGGTTTGGAGTTTAGGGTTTAGGGTTTAGGCTGGGTTGACGATTTTATTTTTCGGGGTTTTGGCGGGTTATAGGGGGTGGATGAGGTTCAGTGTGTTGAGGGTTTTGGGCTTGAAGCAGAGCTAGAGCGGCTTAGGACATAGACATCCACCTCAAGACGTTTTAGCATTTTCGGGAAACTATCTTTCAGAATGTCCCACAGTGCTCCATGGCGAGAGTCCAGGCCAGAGAGAGGTTAATTTTCAGGACTTTAGGGCAAGGATTCAGCGGAGGCTCCTATGAAATGCCTTCCTACACCTCTTGAAAACGGCCACCTGTAGCTGTTAGAATCCTGGCAAAGAACGACGGGTGGAGGTTGAGGTTGTTTCGGTTCAGAGGTGAGGGTCTGACCCTAAACCCACTTTTAGAGGTGTTTTGGAGCTCGGAAGTTCATGGGTTTGGCACCCCTAACCCTAAACCCCAAGCCCGAAACCCAAGCCCGGAAGGAGAACCTTCAGCTGCGTGCGCTGCTTGGTGAGGGTGGCGCGGGTCCCGTCGACGCGGGGCAGCTCGCGCGGTGGCACCGCGAGATGGATCGATCCACGCAGCTCAGCACTCACTGAATCTGGGGGTGTTGGGTTCACCCCTGAACCCTGAACCCTGAACCCTAAACCCTAAACCCTAAACCCCAGACCCTAAACGTTTGGGGTTTCGGGTTTAAACTTAGGCTGATAGTGTTTTGAGATCCTGAAGCTTGATCGAGGGAGTTGCAGGTCCCTCCAACCCTGAAAGACAGCATTCAACGCCCATGGCCAACAAAGCGTTTCAGCCGCAAGGACTATAAAATAAAATATGGTAAAGCTGTATCAACTTGTTCTGCCTAAGTAGGCAAGGGACTTTGGCCCAGAAAAAGAAATCATACAGCTGCATAAGCGCATAACAATAGCAGAGGATGATCATAATGGTATATGAGTATCATTATATTATAATATCATAATATCATTCTATCATGAAATCATAATATCACAGTGTCATAATATCATAATATCATAGTGTCATAATATCATAGTTTCAGAATATCAGAATATCATAATATCAAAATATAAAAATACCATGTATCATAAGATCAGAGTGTCATAATATCATATTCTAGGCATATAGCAGTATGCTATTTTCATACAGGAATACTATACTACTGTAGGATAGTAATACACTACTACAAGAATATGTTAGTATAACATATACTACTGTAAGAATATGAGATTAAAGCAAGAGAGATAGTGTACACACATATACTTGCATAAGATCATAAGAATACAAGAACATCTAAAAAGCTAAACCGTAAACCCCAAACCCTGATCTCAAAGGACTTCTGTTCGACCCGCTAAACCCCAAACCTTAAACCCTAAACCCTAAACCCTAAACCTTCAACCCTAAACCCTAAACCCTAAACCCCAAACCTCTAAACCCTAAACCTTAAACCCCTAAACCCTCAGGATGGCGACGACTCCCTACGACGTGGTTCTGGCCTTCAACTCCTTGGCCAAGTTCCTGAAGACCAGGCCTGGGTTTAGGGTTTAGGGTTTAGGGTTCAGGGTTCAGGGTTCAGGGTTTAGGGTTTAGGGTTTAGGTTTAGGGTTTAGGGTTCCTGCACGCTAAATATCCCCGAGGCGAATTCGCTTGTTGAAGAATGCAGAGTCCAAGCTGGACATCATGAAGTCAGAGAGCGTCCGCATCATCGCAATCGTGGGCTTGTTTGAGAAGGGGAAGACATGGCTCATCAACAAGCTCTTCGGAGTGAACCTGCCTTCCGGTACCCTTCATGAAACGGATGGGCTGAGCTTTCTCTGGATCCCCGAACGCCGGATGCTGCTGATCGACTCAGCAGGCGTGCAGTGTCCGGTCTCCTACTGTGCTCCCTCGGGTGCAGGGAGCGAGGAGTCAGTGGATGACGCTCTTTTTGATGCGAAGTCATCCGAGTCCTTCCTCTTCGAGATGATCTCCCGAGTGGCCTCCCACATGGTTTTCGTGGTCACGAGCTTCACGTCCATGGAGCAGCAATACGTGGAGATGCTGCGGAGGAAGTACGTGGCAAGGGGAGTCCACAAAGAGCTCATCGTTGTGCACAACATGCTGAACGTCAGCAATCCAGACGTGGCTCAGCAGGTTTTTGAGAAGCAGGTCACCACGTGCTACGTGGGTGACATGTCTACGCTGGGCCGCCTCATCTTCACCGCCAAGAAGGGCAAGGGCCCGCCAGTGCACCACATCGGGCTCTGCTACGAGTGGAGCAGGGCCGGCGATGAGTTCAATGAGAAGAACAGACAGTACCTCTTGCAAAGCTTGGAGCACCGAGAGTTGGAAACCGAGGTGGTCCTCCAAGACCAGCTCCGCGAACACTTGTCCGAGCTTCTCAAGATGTTTGTGAGCACGGAGCTTCCGGAGAAGGCCGATGGACCCGAGCCTTCCTTCAGCGTCGAGTTTTGCTCGGAAGACAAAGCGGTGGGGGGCCCCAAAGATTCGTCCGTCACTGTCTCACTGTCGGCTGTCAGTCTTTTGGGGGGGGGGGGTTGGGCACCTGGTCGGGGGAGCGCGGGATGACCAGAGAGCTCGTTGCACTGAGGTTTTCTCCCCCGGAGATGAGGCCCTGCTCGCGGAGGACGCGGCGCGCCGCCTGGGCCATGAAGGCAAAGTCCGCGTGAAGCAAGTGCGCGATGACGAGCCGGGGGTGTACATCGGGTTCCAAGGCGGCGAAGAAGAAAAAGAAGCTTGGGTGAGGAGCGATGAGCTTCTACCAGTCGAGGCACGCCATTGCAAGTGCGGTCGGGCTTGGGTGGTCGTCGTTCAGTGACGACACCCCGAACCACAAACTCATAGCCCAGAATGCAAAACCTCCACCCCAGATGCTAACCCAACCCCTACCCTAAACCCTACCCAATTGCAGGGGGGACCCGAAGTGGAGATGATTCCGGCCGGCTACGTGTGTGGAGGGACCTTTACATTGAAGGCGGGCTCAGGGCCCCAGACGGTTCACGGAAACTGTACTAATAATTCAGCATAGCATGATTTGCCTCCACCCCCAAACAAGCACTGCATACCAATTAGACACAATACATTCTGTCATGACCCGCCCTTAGTAGTTGTGGAAAACCCGGATGATAACACAAGCCTTTTGGGATGAGGCCCTCAAGCCTGCAGGCCCCAGAAAGCTAGGCCCTGGAGCCCTGGAGCCCTGGAGCCCTGAAGCCCTGAAGCCCTGAAGCCCTGAAGCCCTGAAGCCCTGAAGCCCTGAAGCCCTGAAGCCCTGAAGCCCTACAGCGCTTAAAACCTGACAACTAAGCCCCAAACCCCGAAAGCCCTCAAACCTCCCTAAAGCCTAAACCCAAATCCCGAACAAAACCCTAAATCCCCGAACAAACCCCTGAACCCCTAGCCCTAAACCCGAAACCCTAAACCCTAAACCCTCTTCCACACCCCTTGCTCCTAAACCCTAAACCCCCCCTGAGCCCCCAACTGAAAGGTCGAAGCGGGGGCAGACCTGAAGATGAAGACGCGCGGTGTGATTTCCCCGCTGGGTGAGCTCATAGGCTGGAGAGGGTCCTGAGGGCCTCAGGGGCTTCAGGATGTTCGGGCCATTTTGTTTTTTTTTTTGTTTTTTTTTTTTTTGGGGGGGGGGGGGGGGGGGTTTAGGGATTTAGGCTTCGGGGGTTTAGGGTTCTAGGTTCGAGGGTCTAGGTATTCTATTGGTCTTGGGGTTGAGGGCCTGGCTGTTTTTTGAGTTGAGGATCCTTGGGTTGAGAGTTTAGGGTTGCAGGGTTGTAGGGTTGCGGCTGAGGGGCTTTAGGGCTTTTAGAGTTTTATGTTTTAAGGGGTTAAGGGAGGTTCAGGGTCAGCAAAATCTTAGGGTTTCTGTGGGCAGTGGGCCCCTTTGTATGGTCGCGATTACGGGCTTCATGGGTTAGATGTTGGTTTAGCTTCCAGCAGGGCTCAAAGTGTTCTGGTTGTAAGGTTAGGGGTTTTATTGGGAGGTGGTCGTAGGACTGTATGTGGTGGATATGAGCCCTAAGCCTGAATTCTACATGATGGCAGGTCACAACACCACCTTCGAGCCGCATGTCAATGTCTACAACGAGACCCTCGCCAGACAGGGCATAGGAAATAGGGAGTTTCCCGTAGGAGCCTACACCATTAAACGCGGGCACAGGACCCTAACCACCCTAACCCCTAACCCCTAACCCCTAACCCCTAACCCCTAACCCCTAACCCCTAACCCCTAACCCCCTAAACCCTAGCCCCTAAACCCTAAACAGTCCACGCTGAGGACTCGAGGTGAATTCGTTAAGCCCCCCCCCCTCTCCCCGTCTCCCCCCGTGTCAAGTACCACACGGCAACGGCCACACGGGTACTTGATTGGTACTTGGAATGTAGGTAAATTCATTTGGGAAACCTAGGGTTTCCCAAAACTCGGGTGCCCACCTAGGCAGGTCCTGGAAAAACACATTTAGGGCATCAAAGGGGTATCCGTAATGTCGCAATGTTTAAAGCCGAAAAAGCCGGCCCTGTGCTAGGTCTTAGCGTTCAGAGTGTGTGTAAGGGTAGTAAGATGGGCCCTTAATATGGTCCCTTGCGTTTAAAGGATTTTAAAGGGTTCTGAGACCCTTGAGTTGTATAGGGTATAGCGGGGGGAAAATAAGGGGTCCCCTTTTGACAGGCCCAGACTAAGGGACCATGAAACTACTCTGGGAGTGTAGCGAGTGTAGTGGCTCATGGAGATCCTTTGGCCAAACGAAAGGACCTCCGAGAAGGGGGAGGTTTACCGGAAGATCCGCATCGAATGCCCAGGAGTGGCCGAGGAGGACATCGAGCTGGATGATGCTGGGCTGATGTTGAGGAACTGAACTTCAGTTTTGCGGAGTAAGGAAATTGTTCTTTTTTTGAACCCATTTGGTAGCCTAGTTGGAGTTTCAGCTCCTTCGCAACCCAGGATGAGAGCCTGTCCGCGGGGTTCCTTCTCACCATCACCAAGAAAGCCGGCATCGACGAGCAGGCCAAGAACATCGAGTCAGTGGGCGGATCCTTCCGGCAGCAGCAGGGGCGATGGCAACGGGAGTTCGTGCTGGAGAAGACGGACGGCAAGTTCGAGGACCCGACCTACAAGTTGCAGGACGGGATTCTCGAGATCACCATGAGGAAGAAGCAGAAGAAGTGTAAGGCGCGGCAAGGCTACGGAGGACGGACGGAGCCCGCCCCGTCCGAGGCCCCCTCGGAGGCCTCCTGGTCCAAAGTCAGTTTGCAGGACCAGGAGCAGTGAGAGCGCCTTTGGCTAGGCCAGTGGCAGAGATCCGTTGTAGCGCAGCAGGCGTTGGTGACAACTCCACCTTTGTGCGAGAGATTGCTGATTCATATTTACCGCCCACCTTTTGTGCGATACATTCCTGACTCATGTTTTTTGCCATCGGCCTGCATCTATCAGCTTGTCCCAGGCCGGAGAGGTCTATCTGAAAGCATATGTACCGGTTGTCCATACACCGTTACCTATGCAAGCGTACCAAGAGCGGAGAGGTGGCAGAGACTTCTTTGCAAACGTGCCCCAAGGTTCTAGTCTTAACGTTGCTGCCACACATTCCGCGTGTACAAAGCAGCGATCGGAGCGATCTTTCATCAGCAGAGGAAGTGGCAGATCCGTTGTGTGCAGGAGCCATGGTCCTAACCTTCCCGTGCATTCGTTAGACTACTTCCTGGTCATGTTGACTGCTACTGCAACCGGCCTGCATCTATCAGCTTGTCCCAGGCCGGAGTGGTCTATCTGAAAGCATATGTACCGGTTGTCCATACACCGTTACCTATGCAACCGTGCCAAGCCCGGAGACGTGGCAGAGACTTTCTTCCAAAAGTTCCACCAGGGTCTACTCTAACAGTGTTTGTGCACGGGCATCTTTGCTGCCACGCATTCCGTGTGTACAAAGCAGTGATAGGAGCGATCTTTCATCAGCAGAGGAAGTGGCAGATCCGTTTTGTGCAGCGAGACACATAGTATTCCTGTGTCCTCGATAGGCAACTTCCTGGATCTTCCTGGTTCATTCTGACTGCCACTGGCCTGCAGATACTTCTTTCAACAGTTTGCGGAGAAACCATATTCATCCTGAGCACAGCTTGGCTTGTTGCTTCCAAACAACACCCCGCGTCTATCAAGACGGCATGTGCAGATCGGAGTGCTCTCGAGCGCGTTTTTAAGGGGTGGCAGTGATGCCCGTACGCCGTGTGCTCATTTCTCTACATTGTGGCCGCTTTTCGGGTGCCCTAAATATGAGGGGCGGCATGCAGCAAGGTTTCAACAAAGGGCCGCAGTTGTGACTGAGAGCAAAAAAGCTGCCCCTAAAGGATCCGGAAAGTAGAGCCCCATAGATTGCGCCCCGTACTACTGCTATGTAACGATTATTGGGGAAGAACCCCTGAAACTTGTAAAGCCCTAAACCGGGAGCCTTGAGTAAATCTACTTCCTATCCTCCCAGAAACTTTCTGAATCCTGAAATCCAAACCCTCATTCCCTAAAGCTATCACCCTCAGCCCTCAACCCCACTGCAAGCCTCGAGTTCATGACGTCCGACCTTAAAAGAGGTATTTTGGAAGCAGGAGAAGGGCACGGAACGGGGTGGGAGAATTGGGGCAGTCAGCACTCGAATGCGCATGCCCGAACCCGAAGACTCCAAACTCTAAGCCTTCTAAAGCACCCTAGAACCCAAAACCCCCAAAACCCTCGAATCCTTAAAGCCCAGAACTCTAAAACCCGGGGCCCTACAGCCCTGAACCCCAAAACCCTGAACCCTCTAAAAGCTGCCAGGCCTTCCGGGCTTTGCCGCCGGCGGCAGCGCTGGCGATAGATTGGGAGGTTTGGGGTTTGGTTTAGGGTTTCGGGTTTAGGGCGAAGGTGGGTGGCAGAAGCCCCACCCTTACCCGCCCCCCCCTTGACCCATGGCCCAAAGTAGCTTTAGTCCCATCTGGAGTGGGTCCGGTGGTCAGCGTGCGGAAGAAAAGTCGTCCTTGCACCGACCCTTGCAGCTCCCCGGAAGCCTGAACTTACAAACTTTGGGGTTTTGGGCGCCTAAATCCTCAGCGCTAAATCCCTCAGCCTCCTTGAGCTCCCGGAGTCCTCGGGTGCAGGAGCCGTTTTGTGGTTAAGGGTCGCCGTGGCTCTGGATTTTAAACCCTAAGCCCTAAGCCGGAAACCCAACATTTATACTTGGGGATCGGTTCGGGTTAGCTCCCAATTTTTTTGCCTCCAGACATGACTGCACTCCTCACCCTGTGCGCCTGACGCAACTTTCCTTCGACCCAAATAGACTTCCCCAAAACAGTCCCCAAGAAACCCCAAACTGCGTGTGCGCTTTCGGGTCAAGTCACGTCCAGCCATGGGGGACCTACACCCTCTCAGAAGCATTCCCTGGAGCCATCTCTACAGGGCGAAATCTGAACTCTGAACCTGAGACCCCAAACCCCAAAAACCTACTTATGCAGGTTTCCGAGGCACATCCTGCCTAAGCCGCTCCCCCCCTGCCCAAACCCTAGACTCCTACAACTCCTACAGCCGCCAAACCCTGAACCCGAAGCGCTAGAATACATCCTAAATCCTACACCCTAAACCCTAAACCCTAAACCCTAAACCCTAAACCCTAAACCCTACACCTTAAACCCTAAACCCTAACTTACCCCCGTTGACATGCCCTGAGAGAGCCTTGCCTAAGCCATGCTGCCGCACGACGGCGATCCTTGGCATGGCGTCAGGTCTCCAGCGCCTTGTCAGCAACTGGGGGCTCTAGGGGGTCGTAGGATGTCAGGTTCCTAAACCCTAAACCCTAGACCCTAAACCCCAAACCCTAAACCCTAAACGCTAAACCCTAAACCCTAGACCTCCCTAGACCCTAACCCTAAACCTTAAACCCTCAACCCTAAACCCTAAACCCGAAACCCCAGGACCCCAAAGCCTATAACCGACCCCAGCGCAAACCAGGACACCGAGCCCCCGCTGCTGCCTCACGTTGCTCTGCCAGCCGAGGAGTACCAGGTCGGGCTCCGGGTGCCCTCGAACTTCCAAGGGCTTAGGGTTTAGGGTTTCGGGCTTAGGGTTTAGGGTTAGGGTTTAGGGTTTAGGGTTTAGGGTTAGGGTTTAGGGTTTAGGGTTTAGGGCTCCGGGTTTAGGGCTTAGGGCTTAGGGCGTCATGACAGTGCGCCCTCCTGGCATGCACAGCCTGTCAGTGCAGTGTACTTGCTTGTGTAGTCATCCGATGCGAACGCAAAGTGCCTACTTGCAGGTTCAGGGTCCTTGTTGTCCAGTTAGAACTGTACTTGTAGCCCAAGTTGTAACCATATTAGGGCACTTAAGGGGTGTATAAGTGGGTTTTTCGCACTTTTATAATTGACAAATACGTGCCCTGAACCTCCAAGTAATTTGAAGAAGCAGGCGTGCCGGCATCTGTATCCAGATGGGCTTGTGGGGATTCAGGGTTGGGGTGTACCCTACACACCCAACCTTAAACTCCACGCGTAGGGATCTTACTGCAGCAAAGCCCTGAACCTCGATCTTAATCCCAAACCCCAAACCCCAAACCCCAAACCCCAAAACCCAAGCCCCAAGCCCCAAGCCCCAAACCCCGAACCCCTAAACCCGAAACCCTAAACCCCTAAACCCGAAACCCGAAACCCTTTGTCTTATCCCAAGCTTTCGACTGCCCTTCGGCCCTCGGCGCAGGTCTTCCCGCTTCACCGGGTGCGGGCCGTGCGCGTCATCGCCGCAAGGAAGAAGGAGGCCGCCCCCAATGAGAAGGGCTTCGGGCCCTAGGATGGGTTTAGGGTCTAGGGTTTAGGGTTTAGGGTTTTAGGGTCTAGGGTTTAGGGTTTAGGGTTTGGGGTTTGGAGTTTGGGGTTTAGGGTTGTCCCTAAGCCCTGAAACCTACACCCCTAAGCCGTATTTTCATGATTTATTTTCTTTGGGTGGGGTTCCTAAGTTTCCCTCTGGGGTCTGCGAAGAACAAGGTGCTACTTACTTCACACCCAACTATATCTCTAAACCCTCAACCCTGAACCCGAAAAAATGGAGATGTGGTTCAAGGATATAGTTCAACATTCTTGTCTTCTGTGTTTCGAGGCAAACCTTTCAACCCTGCACCTTTGATCCTAGATCCTTTTCAATAGCCGCCTGCCTGCCCCCTCAATGGGACACGCCCCACTCCCTCGAAACCTCGAACCTCCTCCAAAACCTTACGCTCCAAATCTCCCAACCAAGCACCGAACGCTCTGAGACCCTGAAACCCCCGAATCCCACCAACAAGCCCTTTCCACCTCCTTTAAAGCAACCCCTAAATGCCGCCAAACACACCCTTAATGCCTCCAAGCGACCCCTGAATCCCCCCCCAAAAAACCCCTTACAGCCTCCTTTAAGGCCAGTTCCCAGGCAGTGGGGCCTCCTCACATGCCAAGGGAGGAGCCTCCCCGGCTGGTGGGCGGCGAGTCGCCTGGCATGGTGTTTTTTGGGGTTTAGGGTTTAGGGGTTAGGGTTTCGGGTTTAGGGTTTAGGGTTTAGGGATATGCGTGCCAGGTGTTCGTTTTTGGGGTGGAATTTGGGGCTTACATAGGGTTGCAGGCTTCTCCGGAGGTTTCTTAAGTTGCCTACATGGTCCGTTTAATATGGGCCCTTCAAATTCAACGGTCAAATCCACAGACCCCACTCGCGGAGTTGACCCCGCCCTCAAAAGAAAGGGTTTAGGGTTTAGGGTTTAGGGTTTAGGGTTTAGGGTTTAGGGACCTTAAAGCACGAAACTATGCCCCGCCAAGCGCTGAAGCCTCAACCCGAAACCTTCTAAAACCCTAAATCCCAAATTGTCTAAACCCTAAGCCCTAAACCCTAGATCGCAGGGATACAGAAAATGGCTTCAATGGAACTCCTCAACTTGCCACAGCACTACGAAAAAAGTGCTGATTTGCTCAGAGTTTAGGGTTTAGGGTTGAGGTTCTTCTCTTGTATGAACCCCCTGCTTTGGGAAGATCGGCATTTGGTATGCTTTGACGTGCACTTTCCCTTTTTCAGTTAGATATTTGGGGTAGTATGTTTTTCGAGTCCAATGTAGAGATAGCAGAGGGGTGAGCGAGGGCGCAGGACAGGCCCGTACGCATCCCACGGCCCTCTGCAAGCACGCCCCTGGGCACCAACTCCCGAAGCTAAAAACCTCTTGACCCTCAAGCCCCAAGCCTTGAGGCCCCTGAAGCCCCTGCAACCTAAACCCTGAACCCGAATCGCTAAACCCAAATCGACCCCAGACCTAAAGCCTCAAAACCGTAAACCCCTAAAACCCTAAACCCTGAAACCCCTAAACCCCTGAAACCCCTAAACCCCTAAACCCCTAAAACCCTAAACCCCTAAATCCCTCCCACGCCCCTTAGCCTGCACCTGCAGACCGAACCCCGACCCACGGGACATGGGGCCCAAGAAGCAGCGGAACATGCGCTTCGCCGAGGCGATGGGGAGGGAAAGTCCGGGGGTTTTTCGGATTAGGGTTTCGGGTTTATCGGTTTAGGGGGTTCAGTACAGGGGGGTTTCTGCCAAATACAGCCACAGCAAGACATCTAGGGGTACGACCCCAAAAATCCGAGGAGGAATCCCTTAGGGGTTTAGGGGTTCCGGCGGGTTCAGGGTTTAGGGGTTGAGGGGTTCAGGTTTTTTGGGGGTTTCAGGGTCCATGGTTTGGAGAGGGTGCAGAGTCTCAGGGTGTTAACGTTCAAGGGACAACTAAAGGGTTTTGGGGGTTTTTGCGGGGTGATCGGAGTTCTTGGGGTGAGTTTTGGGCTTGGGGTATGTAGTGCATGTTGCATGTATGGCCGCATCTGGGGCACACACGGCCACCCCCCTTTTGTTGTTTGAGGCTTCTTGCGTAACTAAGAAGGGCCCTCAGCAATGTAGCTTGTAGGACCCGCATCCGCGCAGCTGAACTCGTAAACGCCCGACAGAAAGCGGCCAGGATGTGGATGTCAACGACAGGGGCGAGTGCCAGGACATGAATTCGTCAAGTTTTTTTTTTCGTGCGCGCCCGTCTAGTGTTTAGGGCTCTCTGCGGCTCCGGCGGCTTTTCGGGGTTCTGCCTGGAAACCCTAAACCCTACACCCTACACCCTAAACCCGAAACCCTAAACCCTAAACCCTAAACCCTAAACCCTAAACCCGAAACCCTAAACCCTAAACCCCTAAACCCTAAACCCTAAACACGCCAAGGCGGCGAGAGTCAGCCCAAGGGCGGCTAAGCGACGGGATGAAGGCCAGGGTTTAGGGTTCAGAGTTCAGGGTTTAGGGTTTAGGGTTTGGGGTTTGGGGTTTCGGGTTTAGGGTCTAGGGTCGAGGGTCTAGGCTTCAGTCTTCAGGGTTTGGGGTTTAGGCCTGCGCGGGGCGCATGGCGCCCTGAATCCCGACTTCTGAGCCCAAATTCCCACGATCCCTAAGCCCAAGTCCCAAACCCCAAAGGTTGAGAGCATGTTGGGTGAGGAGTGGTCGTTCTTGCTTAGAAAGGTTTGGGGTCTAGGCATCCAAGCTCCGAGCCCGAAATCCCTAACCCCTAAACCCTAAACCCTAAACCCAAAATTTGAACCCTAAACCCCAAACCCCTTAGCCCGCACACCGCCAGCGTTGCTAGGCGCAGAAGAGCCTCCGTGAGGGCTCTGTCATGGGCCATGCGGCCACAGGTGACTCTTGGGCGCTTCGATGCTCTGTTTTGTGGGTTTCGGGTTTCGGGTTTAGGGTTTAGGGTTAGGGGTTAGTAGGGCTGTATGGGTTTAGGGTTTAGGGTTAGCGGTTAGTAGGGCCCTTAGGGGTTAAGGGCTGTATGGGTTTAGGGTTTACAGTAGGGTTAGGGGTTAGTAGGGCCCTTGGGGGTTCAGGGCTTCATGGGTTTAGGGTTTTATCACGGCTTTGGGCTTCCGAGCTCACAAGAGAAACACGCTCGGAAAGTCTTGGCTTGCAGGGGTTGGGAGGTCTCTGGCCATAGGATGGCTTAGGACTTAAGTCTGATTGTTGACAGGCTTTGTTTTGGAGGTTGACAGAACCCCAGACTCTAAACCCTCAACCCTCAACCCTCAACCCTCAACCCTCAACCCTCAACCCTCAACCCTCAACCCTCAACCCTCAACCCTCAACCCTCAACCCTCAACCCTCAAACCTCAACCCTCAACCCTCAACCCTCAACCCTCAACCCTCAACCCTCAACCCTCAACCCTCAACCCTCAACCCTCAACCCTCAACCCTCAACCCTAAACCCGCTACGGCCAGAAGTCGATGATCTGCGCGCTCTCCTCAAGCCCATCTGCTGAAGATCAGGGGTTGAGGAATGGCGCCACCACCGAGTCCGGGGACCTTCGAGCCCGAAAGTTGCGAGATATTACGGAGTTTCGAAAAGCTCGAAAGTTTGAAAGGTCAAGCATTTCAAGTTCGTTCGAAGTCCGTTTCGAGCTCGAAAGGTGCCCCCGCCATGGTTGGTTTAAAATCTCCCTCCCGGTTCAAGCTTTCGAGCTCCAGAATCCTTCGAACTCTCGGTCGTCTCTCTCTTTTGCATTCGTCAAGGTTAAACATCTCCACCTTGCAAAGATTCGAGCTTGAAAAAGCGCTCAACCCCAGACCCCAAACCCCAAACCTGAAACTCCCTAAACCCCCCAAACCCAAAACCCCAAACCCCAAACCCTAAAACCCCCCCGAGCCTGGATGCCCCTGCAGGCCGCAGCGCGAGGAGCCGTGCCGATCGTAGCCGCTTCGTCTCCTTTCAGGCTTCAGGGTTTAGGGTTTAGGGTTTGGGGTTTAGGGTTTAGGGTTTTGCAGGAAATTTGGGGTCTTGGGGTTGAGGGTTGAGGCTTTAACGGTTGTACGGTTTGAGTCTTTAGGGGTTGCAGAGCCAATGCCAAGGGAGCGAGGGTTGAAAACAGTTGGGCTGCGCCCGGCTTCTGTCAGCCGAAGCCAAATCCTAGGCCCCCAAGTCAAGCCTTCAACCCTGAACCCTGAACAGTCAAAAAGCCCGATATGGCCCATGCATCCGAGGCACTGTGCTCTCCAACGCACTGGCGGAGATCGTCAAAGAGAGGAAGGCTGGCCTGCTGCATTAGAGTTCAGTGGCTTTGGAAGCAACCATCCCAACCCCTACGTCCTGACCCCTAAACCCTAAACTCTAAACCCTAAACCCTACACCCTAAACCAGGCGGACGAGCTGCTGGAAGAGCAGAAGGCCAAGACGTACCAGCAGGCTCGGGTGTGTGTGGAGCGGGCTTGCCGAGTAGGTCGGAGTTGTTCCTTTGAGGTGTGGGTTTTTGATTATGTATAGAGCTAAACCCTCAACCCTAAACCCTCAAACCCTAAGCCGCAAACCCTAAACCCCAAGCCCCCTGGCACCCCAGGAGAAGCTCATGGGTAGCAAGGCGGCCGAGGTGGCGAAGAGCATTGGGATCAACCCGGTGATGCAGCTTGGAACACACTCGGAAGGAGTCCCGGAAATCACTTTAGGGGCCTGGATATTTTGAATGAAGGGACCATAAGGGAAAACCTCTATATCACACAAATTTTAAGCCCGAAGACTTGAATTAATGCAGCAATTCAACTTGGCAGAATGCCATGAACCCCCAACCCCAAACAAGCCCAAAACCCAACCGAGCCCAGGCTGGACCGCCACCGGCAGACAGTCCACAAGTGGATCTCTTCGTCCCGTGAACCTTGATTAGGGTTCAAGGTGAAGGGGGGGGGGGGGTACTGGGAACCGTCTGACCCATTTAGGGGGGAGATGTTGAGGTACGATCCAACATGGTTGGTGGCATGCACAGGAGTGCTATGATATTGTGATGCTAGACTAACAACAGTAGGAGCTGCTTGAATTAGACTCATGACTCATGGGTAGTTCTACAAGTAGGGTTATGTGTTGCCTAATCAGGGTTAGCACGAGTGTCCCCTACGTGCAGCTCTGCTGACGACCAACTACCCAGCAATCCTCAACTTCACCCTAAACCTTAAACCTTAAACCTTAAACCCTAAACCCTAAACCCTAAACCCAAAACCCTAAACCCCAAACCCTAAACCCTAAACCCCCAAGTAGGGCGTTGTGGGGGAAGGCAAAGGGCTCTCGCTCCTCGGCTCCTTCCAATCAAAGTGCCTGAGGTCCGGGTGCCTCCCCAAAACCCTGAATCTCATGAAATGCTTGAACTGTACGGTTCAGGAGGTACGGTTCAGGGTTGAGGTTTAGGGTATAGGGTATAGGGTATAGGGTATGGGGTATGGGGTTTAGGGTTTAGGGTTTTGGGGCTTAGGGCTTCGAGTTTAGGGTTTAGGGTTCAGGGCTTCCCTTAGTTGAGAAAGGTCCTTCTTTGATTCTGTCATTGGCTTCATCATCTCCGTCAACGCTGCGACCATTGGCATGGCTCCTGTGCCTGAAGCCCTCAAATCCTAAACCCCAAACCCTAAATCCTAAATCCTAAATCCCTAAACCCCAAACCCTAAACCCCAACCCCCCCAAACCCTAAATTTAAGAGCCTCCTGCTCAAGCCGGCGAGCCCGCAGGAGAACAGGTGTAGGGTTTGGGGTTGGGTGGTGGATGTGTGCCAGCAGACAGTTGGAGGCAGGTGGGCCGAGTTGCGTATGACAACGTCAACCTCCCCTGAGAGAGCGTAGACAGTGCCATGTGTGCTCGCCACGAGGCTCGTATCGTAGTAGATGTTGTGCCCGTCGTGAGGAAGCTTGTGGCGATCCTTCTCCCTGAGAGGGCAGACACCCTGGCTGTGAGGTGCCGGAAAACATGGTGACTCCGTTTGGGCGAAAGTGCGCACTGATTCAGGCCTCAACGTCCGGAGCTTTGCGGGGTCGGGGGGGGGGGGTGTGGGGTGGGGTGAAGGAGGGGGTGGGGGGGCGGGGGTGGGGCAGGGTGGGGAGGAACCCAAAATTTAAGACTTCTCGCCCTGTGTGCTCGCCTTGAATCCCATGGCCCGAGAAGTCGCACGGTTTGTCCGGGGGACCCCTCCAAAACCCCCCCCACCTCTCCTTCGCGTTTTGCGGGTGTAAGGAACCCTAAATACCAAAACCCAAACCCTCCCAAACCCTAAACCCTAAACCCTAGACGCCCCGTCTTCGCGCTTCCATTGAGCCGAGGCCCTTGGGCCCAAAGGTTGCATCCCAAGCCCCCCAAAGCCACCCTGCAACCTGCAGAGGTTACGAGGGTTCAGAGTAAGGGGTAAGGGGTTTATCAAGGTAAAAGCCTTATGACACCCCTGAAGCCCTGAAACCCTGAAACCCCTCAAGCCCTGAAGCCGTGAACCCCTGGAATCCTAAACTCTAAACCCTAACCCTAAACCCTAAACCCTAAACCCTAAACCCTAAACCCTAAACCCTAAACCCTAAACCCTAAACCCTAAACCCTAAACCCTAAAACCCTAAACCCTAAACCCTAAACCCTAAACCCTAAAACCCTAAACCCTAAACCCTAGACCCTAGACCCTAGACCCTAGACCCTACACCCTAAACCCTAAACCCTAGACCCTAGACCCTAAACCCTAAACCCTATACCCTGAACTGAACCCTGAACTGAACCCTGAACCCTGAAACCCTAAACGCTGAAACCCTAAACCCTAAACCCTGAAACCCTAACCCCTAAACCCTAGCCAAGACCTTCGGCCCCATTGTAGACCCTGAATCCAAAACCCTAAACCCTAAAACCCTCAACCCTCAACCCTAAACCCTAAACCCTAAACCCTAAAACCCTAAACCCTAAACCCTAAACCTGTAAGACCTTCGGCCCCCCTAAGCTGGGAAGCCAAGGAGGCTGAGTTCTCCTCCAGGATCCCGGCGGGGTGCACCGAAAGCTGCGTCTGCCTCGAGGCCGCCGTAATCTGCCAGATGATGCCGCAGTGGCTGAAGGCGACCGCAGGGCCGCAGGGTTTAGGGTTTAGGGTTTAGGGTTTAGGGTTTAGGGCTAGGGTTTAGGGTTTAGGGTTTGGGGTGGTTCTCAGCAGGTAAATCGGGAGTTAGGTTCCCTAAGTCTCCCCTTACAGGGCGAAAAAGGAGATACCAGAGAATTGCCGGATTCCATACTAAGAGCTCGTAAGGTTGAGAGGTCTAGGTGCTTACGGTTCAGGAAGTTCGGGATTTACCCTGAGCCCTAAAGCCCGCGAGGATTTGGGGTTACTTGGACTTGTTTAGACCTGTTTTGTTTATCCCCACCAAAGCTGCATCCTGGCACAGCGGCAAGGGGTTACGGTTAGGGTTCAGGAAAAAAGGGTTGACGAGGCTTTGAGACTTTCAGTGCTCTGTTCAGGTTTCGGGTTTCGGGGGTTCCGGTGTGCTTCGCTGATGTTCACCTGTGGTGCCCAAGCAGTACAGCAGAGGGGAGGTCATTCTTTGCAGGAGCTGCGTGAAGTTACAAGAAAGGTTGTAAGTAGTTGTGACCCTGAAAAGGCAGTCGGCGTGTTCTACTTGTAGTTTGATCCGCAGAGTCTCTTGTCGGATTTTCTTTGGCCTGTAGCCCTACCAAGGACTCCTAACCGCCCAAGCATGACATGAAGGTGCTCTAAACCCCAGGCGTATTGAATCCCAAAACACCGAACCCTGTAACCTGTAAGCCCTCACCTGGGAAGCGACAGACTCAAAAGCCCCAAAAACTCCCTAACCCTGCAGGGTTTAGGGTTTAGGTTCAGCGTATCGGGGGCCCTAGACCACTGAAGCCTATGTTCTGAAGCCAGAGCCCCAAACCAACCTGAGACCTCGAACGACCCCCTACCATGGCAGGTGGTGGACTATGTCTTCTTCCTCATCTACCTGGTGGAGTTCTTGCTTCGGCTCTACACCTACGGCTTCCAAGTCCTCAAGAGTTGCCTTCCTCCACATATGGGGGGTTTAGGGCTTAGGGCTGAGGGCTTAGGGTTTAGGGTTTAGGGTTTAAGGTTTAGGCCCCTAACTCAGACCCCCAGATAGTAGGATTCCCGTATCGTAAGGGCCCCTATGTTCTTTGCTTCAGCTTCCCGCTTCTCGGGGGCCTTCCGGTTTTAGGATGTAGAGCTTCCTTGAGGCACTTCTCCGTGTCGACTTGCCGTCTTTCGCGGCGGGCATTGGGGCCTCCCATTGTAGTGTCATGGTTCCTCACGACCCACTGAAAAATGAACCCCCTGAGCTCCTTTGCTGTGGGAGCGCCCTGAACCAATGGGAGCGATTTAGGCCTTGAGGGTTTAGGGTTTAACTAGGGCTTAGGGTTCAGCGTGTAGGCACCTGCTAAGGCGCCTGGATTAAGTTCGACTTGTTCCTGGTGCTGTCCAGCATGGTGGACATCGCCCTCAAGCAGATCTCGATAAGCAGCGAGATCTTGATTCTGGGCTGAAGCTTTAGGGTTTAGGGTTTAGGGTTTAGGGTTTAGGGTTTAGGGTTTAGGGTTTAGGGTTTAGGGCTTAGGTTGTCTCCATGAGGGCCACTTTCAGGCATGCCAGGTTGCCGTTAGATCCCATTGACTCTGGGAAGTTCTCTAAGTTGTTCGTCCCTTTCTGGGTACCCTGAACCCATTCCTCCGTATGAGAGGGAGGAACCCCGGCAAGCGATCTCTCAGAGAACCGCAGGTCTCTCTTAGATTTTTGTTTTTTCTAACTTTTTCTGCCTTCTTTTGGAAACTCAAACCCCCAAAGGCCGCAAACAGCGCAGGGGTCCACGATTTGAGAGACACGCACACCTGAGACTCAGGAACCAGATCAACCAGATCATGCTGGCGTGGCGCTCAGTGCACTGAGTTTTGGCAGGGCCTTCGGCCTCAAAGTTTTCGAGTGCACTGAACCACAATTATTGGGTACAATCTGGGCCCATTGATTTCGGGCTCTCCCCCTCGGGAGCGCTAAACCCTTTAAGGCCTTTGCCCAAAAGGCCAAGCCCAAAGCACCCACAATGCAAAGCTCCAAGTCCTACGCCGCTAAACCCTCCGCCCGAAGCCCAAAGCCCTAAACCCGTATCCTCATCCCTCAACTCAAGCCCTAAACCCTAAACCCTAAACCCTAAACCCTAAACCCTAAACCCTAAACCCGAAACCCTAAACCCTGAACCTTGGACCCTAACCCTCCACTCCCAGGTGCGGATCCTGCGCCTGGCGCGGCTGGCGCGGGCCGTGCGCCTGCCGGCGGCAGTTCGGAGGGTGCCGCAGGGGCTATATAGGGTTTAGGGTTTAGGGTTTAGGGTTTAGGGTTTAGGGCGGAATAAATACCAATAGTATTCCCTATAGGGTAAAACCCTACTCTAAGTATTCAGGCCCCTATGTTAAGCCCTGTAAAGAACAACTCCGTAAATCATCTCAACATGATGAAAGGAATAGACTCCCCTAAGAACACGAGTTCCTAGTAAAGGATTTTTCCTAAGCACGCGGCATTGGAGCCTCTTGGGGAACGAGCCCGCGAATCCTCCGAACCCTGGGGGCATTCAGAAGTGGCGTTTGTGTGTTTAACATGTCATCAGGGTGTGAGTGTGTAGATATGGGTTGTAACTCTTAGTGGACCTTCAGGTAGGCCCTGAGCCAACAATTCCCAAATCCGAGAGCCGAAACTATACTTACCCCCTACACCCTAATCCCTAAACCCTAATCTCTAGACCCCAAGCCCTAACCCCTAAACCCTCAACCCTAAACCAGAGGCCTGATGGTCCAGTTCCGAGTCCTCTGGCAGCTGGTGCAGGGCCTCCTTCACAGCGTGAGCGGCGTGGCCTCAAGGGGCGTAGGGGGGGGGACCTTGCCCACTAGTTTTATGGCCATGCCCACTTAATGCTATGACCTTGCCCGCTAGTTTTATGACCGTGACAGCTAACTGCGAGGTGATGGCAGGGTTCGGACAGGTAGGTTTAGGGTTGAGGGGTTTAGGGGCCTATTGGGCTCTTGTCCTTTTGTTGGGGGTCTTGGCTTTCGACACCCCCAAGGTAGGGTTTAGGGCTCAGGGCTTCGGACAGTGGGCGCGGACCACCCTTGAATCCCCCTTAAACCTTAGAGTCCCTAAAGACTCAAAACGAACAACACAACAATCACGAAACCCAGAACTTTGAACCCTAAGTCTCAGTCCCAAAGCCCTTCAGAAAGCATGTAACAGGCTTCCCCCCCCTCAGCGCCCTGACCGCTGAAAGAGTTCCATTATGGAGCAACACCCTAGTCCTTCCTCCCTGTAAACCCTTAAGTCTTAGAAGTCCGCAACCCGAACGCTTGCAGCCTAAAGTGAAGGCACGTTGCTGTGGACCTTCCTCATGGTGATGATCTTGGTGTACGGGTTTGCCATCGTGGGAATCGCAACTTGGCGTCAAGCCATTTTTTTCGCGTTGATGTTGTGTTTCAGGGCGCAGGGTTTAGGGACTTAGGCAGAGCTTTGGGGCTTAGGGTTTTGCTGACCAAGACACGTGCCTCGGTGCCGTCGAAACCAGCATGTGCCGGCCCGGTGCCATCGTGTGGAACAACCAGCATGCGCAGCGCCGTGCCCGGTGCCATCGAAACCAGCATGCGCGGCTCTATGCCGGTGCCATTGAAACATGCGCAGGGCCATGTCTGCTCCATCGAAGCCAGCATGGGAACTGGAAGGCGCCGCTGGTCTAGAGCCGACAATGCAAGCCCAGAATGCCATGGGAAGCTATACGCCTCAAGCTCGGAATCGTGACCTGGTGCAATGTTGCAACCTGTGAGCTAGCCTTGATTGCGCCCCAAGACCGACCCGAGTAAGCTAGTTGAGGGTCGAAGGTTAACCTACAACTGCACGCTACTGCTCCACCAGAATGCGTCCTGAGTTGACCGATTTGGGGGGTTGGGGTGTAGGACACGCGCCCTTGTGGCCTGTAAATATACAGCCCCCAAAACCCTAAACCCTAACCCTAAACCCGAAATCCTAAACCCTAAACCCTGACCCCTAAACCCTGAACCCTGAACCTAAACCCTAAACTCTACCCCCCCCCCCCCCCCCCCAATCCTGAGCCCTACATGTTCGGGTTTGGGGCACAAGGCTGTGCTCCAAGGCTTGGTCGGGCTGCTAAATGCCGGAAGCCCCCACCAAACATTTCTTCAGGTTTGTTTAGGGTTTATGGTTTGGGTTCAGGGTTCGGGTTTCGGGTTTCGGGTTTAGGTTTAGGGTTTAGGGTTTAGGGCTACGGCGCCATTGACCAGGAGACCATCCAGGTTGACCAGACGCTGCCGCTTGACCACCCCTACAACCTTGCCGTGACGGAGAACTTTGACAGCTTCGTGGATGCCATGCGCCGCGGCTTTATACATAGCCCTAAACCCTAAGCCCTAAACCCTAAACCCGAAACCCGAAACCCCAAACCCCAAGCAGGGTTCAAGTTGTTTCGGCCCAAGCAGGGCTTAGAGTAGGGGTTATAGATGGTTTAGGGTGCCACGGACCAGCTTCTTTGCCCAAGGCCCGGTCAACACCCAAGCAGCACTTTGCACTCCGAACCTAGAACCAAAGCACACACCCATGTATCCCATAGCCGTTGCCCAACGCCCTGAGCATGCTTCGGAGTAGGGCTTAGGGCGAAGGCTGTTTTAGGCGTCTGCACAAGCCCAACAAGCCATAGCCCACTGAACCCAACCCAACCCCACCCTTCACCAGTCCTTGTACTGTTATTACAATTTCTGCTGCTGCTACTGCTACTGCTACTGCAACTGCTACTGCTACTGCTACTACTACAACTACTACAACTACTACAGCTACAACAACTACTACAGCTACAACAACTACTACAGCTACTGCAACTACTACAACTACTACAACAACTACTACTACTACAACTACAACTACTACAACTACTACAACTACTACAACTACTACAACTACTACAACTACTATGAGTTTAAGATTCTTGTGCAGGTTCACGCTGTTCCAGTGCTTCACGCTGGACAGTGTCAGCACGGTGTACCGCCCGCTGGTCACCCACAACCCAGCGCTGCGACCCGTTTGCCGTAGATATTCAGGCTTGGTTGCAAGGGCTTACCCCAAGCAAGGGGCTGACTTTAGGGTTTAGGGTTTAGGGTTTAGGGTTTAGGGTTTAGGGTTTAGGGTTTAGGGTTTAGGTAAGCCCAGAACCTTTGGGGCTCCCAAGCCTTGGGCGCTAGATTCTAAAAACTGACATCATCACCCCAGTGCTTCGAAGGGACCCTGGTCTTACTACCCTCCGCAAGCCCTTTTATGTAGTGGACAGATGCGTGTGTGTATATATGTATATGTGTATATGTATATGTATATATATATATATATATATATATTTATATGCATATATATATATATCTATATATATATATTGTACAGACATATGTGGTGCAGTCTCAAAAGGCTTCAACGGCTCCATATTGCCCTGGCCCGAATTTCATTGCCCGGGATTCCTCGGCTTCATCCTAAGAGCCTTCCCTCAAGCCCTGCCTCGAACCTCTTGCCCCAAGCCGATAGCTAACCCTAAGACTTGACAACCCAAAACCCTGAACCCCAAGCCCCAAACCCCCAAACCCCTAAGCCTTAAACCCCAAACCCTAAACCCTAAACCCTTAGAATTCACAGAGGCTGGGCTACTTCATGGCGGTCATCCTCATCATGGCGCGCCTGGGCTACCGGCCCGTGGGTCCACCCTTCGGAGGTTCAGAAATTTAGGGGTTCGGTTTAGTTGGAGTTTAGCTAGGGTCTAGCAACCCCCCCCCCCCCCCCCCCCCCCCCCCCGAAACCCCAAGCCACCCTCAGCCCATCAAACTGAACCCCCCCACCCGAACTGCTAAACCAACAATACCCTAAGCTTGGGCTTCTCAATGCTGTGCAGCCCCAAGCCCCAAACCCCAACCCCAAACCCTAAACCCCCTAGACACTAGCCCCAGACCCCAAGCCCCAAACCCTGAATCCCAAACCCTAGAGACGGACAAGAAAGAACAGTGGAAAGAATCCGAGAAAGGAGAAAACAGCACTTTCAAATGGGCGATTCCGAAGATAGCTGCATAAGGATCTCTTTGATGAACCTGGTCACGGCCGTCATGGTCAACTCTGCACTTGACCAAGCCAGTGAGGACAAGGATGCCGCCCGTGCTGCGTTCGGAGGGGGTTTTGGGGTCAGGGTTAAGGTTAAAGGTTTAGGTAGGGTTTAGGGTTTCGGGTTTAGGGTGCAGGGTGTAGGGTGCATGGTGTAGGGTGTAGAGTACTTTGGGTTTTGGGGTTTTGGGGTTTTGGGGTTTTGGGGTTTTGGGGTTTTGGGGTTTTGGGGTTTTGGGGTTTTGGGGTTTTGGGGTTTGGGGTTCTTTAGATTTCGGGGTCTAGGGTTTTGGGGTCTTTTGGTTTTGGGGTTTGGGGGTCTGGCACATGGGGTCACAAATGAGTCGTCAAGCAGGTATGTAGGGCTTAGGGTTTGCTTTATTGGCTTTCCCTTCTGAAGCTCCTCAAGCTGGATCAGGCCACTTAAGGCCCTCTCCCTGCCCCCTCCCGCCTCCCTAAACCCTAAATCCTAAACCCTAAACCCTAAACCCTAAACCCCAAACCCTAAACCCTAAACCCTAAACCCTAAACCCTGAACCCTAAACCCTAAACCCTAAACCCTAAACCCCAAACCCTAAACCCCAAACCCTAAACCCTAAACCCCAAACCCTAATCCTTAAGCCCTAAGCCCCAAGCCCATCGCGGAAGCCTCTCAAGGTCAAGAGGGCCTATGAGGCGGTCCAGAAGCGCCGGCAGAAACTCGCCAAGATCGCTGCTATCGTTGTGGCTTTAGATCTTTCGCAGAGCCGGGCCTACTCTGCCATGTTAACAGCCTATGAACCTTGCAATGACCCATTCCTTAGCTAAGGGGTTTGGCTCCCTATGGATTTTTTCCCAGGCCGCTCTCGACCCCAAACCCGAAACCCCAAACCCGAAGCCCCAGACCCTAAACCCCAAACCCCAAACCCCAAACCCCAAACCCCAAACCCCAAACCCCAAACCCCAAACCTCAAACCTCAACACCTAAACCCTGAACCCTAAACCCTAAACCCTAAACCCTAAACCCTAAACCCCGAGGCTCGAAGAGTTGAAGGTCATGTTTCTGGAGCTGGACTCCGATGGGTCAGGCGTGACTCCCAAACCCTGCTAACTTCACTCGGGGTCTGGGGTTCAGGGTTTAGGGGGGTTTAGGGTTTAGGGTTTAGGGTTTAGGATTTAGGGGGTTTAGGGTTTAGGGGGTTTAGGTTAGGGTTTTGGGTTTAGGGTTCAGGGTTTAGGGTTCAGGGTTTAGGCGTTGACGTTTGAGGTGTATTCAAGGCCCAAAAACCCTGCCTGCAGCCCTCTTAAGGCACCTTAGCTGTCTTGCAGGCACCGAGGGGGAGGGGGGTCTTAGGCAAGCGCAATTACAACCCAGGCCTTAAACACCTCACCGCCATCAGACCCTAAACCCCAAAACCCCACACCCATAGAAGCAGAACCCCAAAACCTAAACCCCAAACCCATAGAAGCAGAGCCCACAACCCGAAGCCCGAAGCCCTCAACAACCTGGACCGGTCTGCGGTTCGTTCAGTAGTATGTTTGAGCCAAGATACCCTAAAATCCTATGCTCCAAACGCCCAAGCTTTAAGTTTTTTGAGCCCTGGGCCTCTAAACCCTACACCCTGCACCCTACACCCTAAACCCCAAACCCCAAACCCCAAACCCTAAACCCTAAACCCTAAACCCTGAACCCTGAACCCTAAACCCTAAACCCTAAACCCCCTGAGGCGAGCTCACCTTGGAGGAGCTGCGGAGCGCGCCAGAGGAGGCCACGTCTGAGCTCAAGAGGGTTTAGGGTTGAGGGTTTGGGGTTTAGGGTTTGGGGTTTAGGGTTTAGGGTTTGGGGGTTTAGGGTTTAGGATTTTTAGGGGTTCAGGGCTTTTGGTGTTTAGGTTTTTTCTTTTGGGTTTTAAGGTCTAGGGGGAGTGGCGCTGAGCTTGGGGCTTGGGGATTGGGATGTGGGGTTGAGGTTTAAGGTTTGGGGTTTTGGGTTGAGGTAATTAGGGGATCTGGTCACTATTGGTTTGCTATTGTCTTTTCATAATCCTTTCTGACCCATGTTCGAAGCTTGCGTCCTCAGGGTAAGTTTTTCTTTTTCGCACTTAGCCCCTGGAGTTTCCGTTGTCCAAGATGCAGCTGGTCGGGTTTGAGGGTTTATGGTTTAGGGGGACTCAAACCGTAACCCCTGCACCGAGCCCTAAACCCTGAAGCCCCTAAGCCCCAAAAGCCTTAAACCCCAAACTGAACCCTAAACCGTAAACAACCGTGCCCCTCGAAAGCCCTCAGCCCCCAAATCCTTGGGGGACTTCGTGCTTTAGCAGGGCGGACCCTTCTAACCCTGTGGCGTTTCGGCTTTCTGGTTTAGGGGGTTATTGAGGGTTACTTAGGGTTGTTTAGGCTTTTGGGGCTTATTTGGGGCTACTTGGGGTTATTTGGGGTTACTTAGGGTTTTGGGCTTTTTTCGGGCTCTCTCGTGGGCATTTCGGTGTTCTTAATGGGTTTTGAAGCCAACGAGTGCTCCCTGCGCCAGGCTCAGTCCAGGCCCTCAGCTCCTGCCTATCAACCCCGGAGACCCAAAAAGCCTGAACATCTAAACCCCGGAACCAGAAAGCCCTAAACTATACCAGAGCCCTCAGCCCCAGGCCTAAAAAGTAGGAACTTTTAAAACCCAATTTCAAAACCCGAAAGCCCTAAACTATACCAGAGCCTTGAAGCAATAAGCCCCAAAGCCCTCAACCCTAGAGGCCCCTAAACCCTAAACCCTAAACCCTAAACCCTAAACCCTAAACCCGAAACCCTAAACCTTAAACCCTAAACCTTAAACCCTAAACCCTAAACCCCAAACCCTAAACCCTAAACACTAGACCCTAAACCCTAAACCCTAAACCCTACACCCTAAACCCCGGACCCCTTCCTTCAACTGCTTTCCCCCCCTGCCAGGTGCTGGAGCAGTTGAGGGAAGTCGCCGGCACGGAGGAGCCGCGCTGGGCCAGGGAATAGGGTTCGGGCCATTGGGGCTTGGGAAACTTCATGCCTTACAGTAAACCCGAAAAAGTTGGAAACCTTTTTGAGGACAAATAGTGCTGAGTTTCCAACCTTTTGGCTTCTACTATATACCAACAGTAATTGGGATGACAGTAGGGGGGTACCATAATCCCGAGTCAAGCCAGTTAGTACAAGGGGGAAGGTCCCAACCCTAAACCCTAAACCCTAAACCCTAAACCCTAAACCCTAAACCCTAAACCCTAAACCCTAAACCCTAAACCCTAAACCCTAAACCCCAAACTCCAAACCCTAAACCCTAAACCCTAAACCCTAAACCCTAAACCCTAAACCCTCAAGACAAAATAAATAGGGTTTGTATGTGGTATCATTCTGAATTTTCCAAGGTATTTGTCCAAACAGCTGACAAACAGAGTTTAAGTAACTTAATCCAAGGCGGGAGGCCACATGTTCAATTTACTTAAAACTCTCGGGCCTGGGTCCCAGCAAACCAAAGCCCAAATTGCCTCCCAAAGCCCAAAATTGGCTCAAAGCACAAAATTGGCTTCCAAAGCCCAAAATTGGCTCCCAAAGCCCGGGCTTTGGGAGCCCATTTTGGGCTTTGGGAGCTATTTTTCGGCTTTGGGAGCTAATTTTTCGGCTTTGGGAGCCAATTTTGGGCTTTGGGAAGCCAATTTTGGTCCAATCTTGAACTTTGGGAAGCCAGTTTTTGGGCCAAAGCCAAAATTAGCTCCCAAAGCCCAACAAAATTGGCTCCCAAAGCTCAACTCCCAAAGCCCGAAAATTGGCTTCCAAAGCACAAAATTGGCTTCCAAAGCTCAAAATCGGCCCGAAGCTCAAAATTGGCCCAAAAATTGGCTTTTCAAAGAAATCGCCTCCCAAAGCCCAAAATTGGCTCCCAAAGCCCAAGTTGGCTTCCGAAGCCCAAATTGTTTGCCAAAGCCCAAAATGCTCCCAAAGCCCAAACTTGGCTTCCAAACCCCAAAATTAGCTCTTTGGCTCCAACATAATTCCAAAAACAACTCCCCCGCAACACCCCCTCCCCTCCCCCTCGCCTCCCCCCTGCCAAAAATGAAAAACATAGTTCCAAAAAAAACTCGGTCAAAACTTTCGGTCAAAACGTTTCGGTCAAAACGTTTCGGTCAAAACGTTTCGGTCAAAACGTTTCGGTCAGAACGTTATTGGGACCCAAGCCCTACACAATTATATAAACCCTAAATCCTAAACCCTGAACCCTAAACCCTAAACCCTAAACCTTAAACTTTAAACTCTAAAACCCTATACCCGAAAACCTAGACGAAGCCGTGAACGTCGCTGCGCTGCTCCCCGAGGACATCGACGGTCTCTTCCAGATGCTGGACTACGACGGAGGTAGGGGCTTAGGGTTTAGGGTTTAGGGGTTTAGGGTTTAGGGTTTAGGGTTTAGGGTTTAGGGTTTGGTTTAGGGTTTAGGGTTTAGGGTTTAGGGTTCAGGGTTTAGGGTTTAGGGTTTAGGGTTTAGGGTTTAGGGTTTAGGGTTTCGGAAACCTCCAGGTGGCTCCCTCGACACCGCAGAGTTCTGCGAAGGCCGGCCTTTCAGGGGTTTTGGGGTCGAGGGTTTGCAATTAGGGTCTAGGGTTTAGGGTTTAGGGTTTGGGGTTTAGGATTTGGGATTTAGGTTTTAGGGTGTGGGGTTTGGGGGCTTCAAGTTCGGTCGGACGTGCATCGTTCGATCAACGAAGAAGGGCTTTGCCTGCTGAATTGACACCAGGAATCGACGCATCGTGGCTCAGTTTCAGAATGATCTCGTCTTTCTGCTGTAGACAAGAATCCATCGAAGCGATCCAAGAATGGCTGAGTTCAGGATTCATGGGCGTTTATCAGTGTGGGAAGTCGCCGAACCAAGGTTTCGATATCAACTCCAGTCGTACTGAATCTTCAAGCAGGGCGCCACCTCTCCCTCACTCACGCACGCACGCACTCACTCACTCACTTCTCGACCGTTCCCGCTGGTCGGGACTGGTTAGCCCCGGTTGGCTGGTCGGGCTTGGTTGGGACTGGTTGGTCGGGACTGGTCGGATTGGTTAGAGTGGCGCCCACGGGTTATTCGGGAAGGTCAGGACTGGCTGGTTTGGTTGGGCTGGTCAAGGGCAGGGGGCTGTTGCGCAGGCCTGGTTTCGAACTTCTGGGAAGACAGCGTTGAAGCCATCAGCCTCTGGCACTGCACACGCGTGGTGAGCAAACTGATACTGTATCCTAAACCCTGTAAGCCCTAAACGCTGTAAGCTCCTCATATGTCAGACGAGCTGTCGATAGAACCTGCAAGCGCCCTAAAGCGTCGTAGTACGGAAAATGGGAGACCCAAACCAGCTGAGCCCTAAAGGCGTCACCCTAACTGCTCTCTTGCCAGGAGTTTTGCGTGCGTCCACAAGCGAGACGCCCATTGAGCTCACTAGGCTCGTGAAGCAGCGCCCAGGCTGTTTGTTTAGGGCCCTGGGGGCTTTGGGGGATGCTTTGGGGGGCTTCATCCGACATCCTACATCCTCACTCCTTGCTGACCCTGAACCCTAAATCTTAGACGATGTCCGTTAACTCCTACTCGAATACTGATGTTGCTGTACATGCGGCCGATATCTATGGGCCTGTCCGGGACAGGCTGCTGTACCCTCAATGCTCCGCGCATCCCGTGTGGGCGCTCGGGCTGTTAGGCCGTTCGGTTTCCGTCGCTCGACGGAAGCGAACCCTCACTTAGTTTAGGGACCCCAACCCTAATGTAGGGGTCGGAAGAATTACTAATCGTATTCCCTTATGGTCCCGCCCCCCTCACCCCCAAAACCCTGTTCTAATTAAACCCTAAACCCTAAACCCTAAACCCTAAACCCTAACCCTAAACCCTAAACCCCAAACCCTAAACCCTAAACCCCAAACCCTAAACCCTAAACTTACGCACCCTTTTTGAAACGCTTGAAACGATGCCGCGATGCCCTGAAACCAAGGTGCTCCGACATCCTCAAGCTTTGTGGCTGGACTGCACATGTCCAGAAACGACTGGGGCTTAGGGTTTAGGGTTTTGGGTGTTGGGTTTAGGGGTGAGGGTTTAGGGTTTCGGGCTTATCCCAGGAAACCCCCGACCCAAGCCCCAAAAAGCCCTGCAAGCGCGCACCCAAAAAAGCCTCAGACCCCAAACTCTCAACCCTACTCATCTGAGCCGATTTTTTGCAATATGCAATTTTGTTCCCGCACCGGCCTCAGAAGTAGGCGTGCGTTTTTCTTTCCAGTTGCAAGTTCTGTTCTCGCATCGCCTTCAGAAGTAGGTGTGAGGCGTCTGCTGTTCTTTGGTCTTGATTGATCTTGATTCCAAGCCCCCCTAGACCCTATAAAGGCCCTCAAAACCCCATAAACCCGAAAAGAAACCCCTGAACCCTAAACCCTAAACCCTAAACCCTAAACCCTAAACCCTAAACCCTAAACCCTAAACCCTAAACCCTAAACCCTAAACCCTAAACCCTAGACCCTAGAAACCCTAAACCCTAAATTCAAGGCCCCAAAGCCCGAAGTCTCCCAAAGACTGCGAGGCCGCAGCGTTCACCGCTACGTCGGCGACGCCTTTCGCCCAGCAGGCCCCGAACCAGCGCGAGGCGCTCGCGCGGGGTTGAGGGTTCCGGGTTTAGGGTTTAGGGTTTAGGGTTTAGTGTTTAGGGTTTAGGGTTTAGGGGTTTCAGGGTTTAGGGTTTAGGGGTTTCAGGGTTTTAGGGTTTTGGGGGTTCAGGGGTTTGAGGGTCTAGGGGCCTAATTAGGGGTTTGGGTTTGGGGGTTAGGGTTTTGGGGTTGGGTGTTCCGGGTTTAGGGCTAGGAGGTTTCGGGCTTTCGGGCTTTCGGGTTTAGGGCCTTAGGGTTTAGGGTTTGGGGTTTAGGTAGGGGCAATCCCAACTCAAAAAGCTACTTGAAGGTTCATGGTTGGGTCCCAGTAGGGCTATGCTGCATGTACAAGCCTCAAGGCTATACACGCACACGCGCACGCGCACGGTCTTCGATCCTCCTTCTTAAGCTGCACATCCTCAACCTGAAGCCATCCTAAGCCCCTAAGGCTCAAGCTTCCTGATACTTAGTAGGTAGTGCGGAAATGAGGGCCTGAGGGGTCCGAATTCCCTAATTGAAGGAAGCCCCCACCTAAACCCATCTTAAAGCTGTTGCCACAGCTCGCAGCTTCATCCACAAATTCCGAAACCCCCAAACCCTCAAAGCCCCTAACACACCCTCAAAGCCCAGCGTCCTAAACCTCCCCAAAGCCCGCAAAGCCCCCCAACCCCGCCCGCAAAATCAACGTTCGGCAGCATGAAAAAGCCTAAGCCCTAAACCCTAAACCCCAACCCTAAACCCTAAACCCTAAACCCTAAACCCGAAACCCGAAACCCCAAACCCCGCTCCCGAAGCAACAAGAAGGAGCCCTGGAACGGCGGCTGGATCAGCTGGATCGGAAGGTCGACAACCTTCAGCTCCTCGGGTGGAAGAGGGCTTTGGGTTTGGGGGTTTAGTTTCTTAGGGGTTTAGGGTGCGGGGGTTTAGGGGTTGAGGGGCTTAGGCGTTTAGGGTCCTAGGGGTTTAGGGTGAGTGGGTTTAGGGGTTGAAGGGGTTGAGGGGTTTAGGGGTTCAGGGTTAGGGGGTTTAGGGGCTTAGGGGTTTAGGGGTTTAGGGGGTTTAGGGTGAATCTGTTGGCTAGGCTTTCGTGTTTAGGGTTCAGGGTTGGTTTGCTTGCTGGTTACCTCCGCCCTCACGCCCGCGGGATCATGTGCAAGAAGTTGGAGAACCCTAAACCCTAAACCCTAACCCCTAAACCCCCTCAAGTCCTTCGCTCGGGGCGGGTTTAGGCCTTATGGTTTCGGGGACCAGGAGGATGGGCCCTTGCGAATCCCGAGCTGTGTCCTGAATCTTAATCCCTGAATGCAAACGCCCTGAATCCCCAAACGCCCCCAAACAACCCCACAGCCTTCAACCCTGAACCCTTAGGGTTTAGGGTTCAGGGTTCAAGGTTCAGGGTTTAGGGTTTAGGGACTGGGGTACTTAAATATGCTAGGCTACTATTTGCCTAAGACCCCCCTCCCCCCCCTTGATGTAATCCGAGGTTGGACTTGCACCAGAAGGTGGACCGGATGCATCGCGACGTTGCCCGAGTTCTGCACGCCCTGTCGGCCAGCGCCAGGCTGCACAGGAGTCCGGCGACATAATGCGACATAGAGGTTTGGGGCTTAGGGTTATTAGAGGCCCCCCCCCTTTTGAAAATTTCCCCAGATCCCCAAACTCTAAACCCTGACGCCCTCGTTGTGGGGTACTTGGGGCAGAGTTAAAACCTCGGGTCTGGGTCCCTTTGACGTCGCGTGTCCTTCAGGGGTGCACGGCGACGTAGGGTTAAGCGGACAGGCTTAAGGGGTTACTTTGTCACATGGTGGGATAACATCTTACATGTTTAACGGTACTTAAACTCAGTAAGGAACAGAAATTGAAGTTTAGGGATTAGGCTTTCTCACGGTCTCGGTTGTGGGGCTGGTGGTGCCTGGCTCCTGGCGGCGGACATCTGAGGTTTGGAAGGTGCACGGCTGGGTCTCTAAGCGCCCCAAGGAGCTCTAAAATTGGGATGTTCCCCCCTTGGTATACTAGCAGTCCTTACTGGGGAGTTTAGCACCCCCAAGTATACTCCCCTGTTAAGGACTGCTAGTATAAGGGGGGAACGTCCCTAAAACCCTAAAGCCGCAAGAGCCCGTGCTGAGTGCGCCAGATGCCTAGCGCAACCTGCAGGCCTAAACTCAGGCCCGAAGCCCCGCACGTAAGGACCTCAAGGCGCGGTCTAGGGTTTAGGGTTTAGGGTTTAGGGTTCAGGGTCTAGGGTCTATAGGGTCCAGGGTCCAAAAATCTGGGGTATGGGTTTTTGGGTACATGATGCTTTGCAGCCGGTCTTGCTTTTTGTGTTTGGGGGGGGGGGGGGAGTGGGGTGGTGTCGGGTTTGGGTGGTTGGAGTCGTTCCGCAAGTTCAGGATGTAGTGCTTCTTGCACGGCGAACCAGCTTGCGCCGGCTCTCCGAAGGGAGCAACTTGAAACCTGAATTCATCCCTCGCCTGTGGCGGCTGCCTCTGTCCAGGATTTCGGGCCCCCAACCCTAAACCCCAAACCCCAAACCCCAAACCCCAAACCCCAAACCCTAAACCCTAAACCCTAAACCCTAAACCCTAAACCCTAAACCCTAAACCTTAATCCCTAGACCCTAGACCCTAAACCCTAAACCCTTCACCGTGGCAGCCTGCTTGTTTTGCGAGTGCATGGGCAAGCCCCGCCAGTCCAAAGACGTAGGGCCCTCAAGAGGGCTGGGCAAACGACGCGTCGGGCGTTGATCCCGGAACGTGCCAGGTTTGGGGGTTCAGGGTTTAGGGTTTACTGTAGGGTTCAGGGTTTAGGGTTTAGGATTTAGGATTTAGGGTTTAGGGTTTAGGGTTTAGGATTTAGGGTTTAGGGTTTCGGGTCTATTTCGGGCTCAGGGGTGGAGGGCTACAAAAGGGGTTATGATTCCTGTGGCGCAAGCTCTTCCGGGTGTTTGAGCTTCAAAGCCATAGACCCTCAACCCGAACCCCTGGGGCTCTGTAGTCGCTCCTTTGTGGGAGACCGCCTAAGGGTAGTTTCGTGGGCCCTGAATATGGTCCCTTACCTCCGTTAAAGGGTTCTGAGATAAGTTCCGATCAAGGCTCGTCGTTGTCGCCTTCCCAAGCATTAGATCTTTAAACCCGCTGCTTTAATCACTGAAGCATTTGGGTGGCTCTTGCTGGAAAACATCGCGCTGCAGAGGCTTTTGGATCGAAGGGAAGCCGTTCTATTCTCACATGCCCCGACCCAACGCGCACAATCACTAAGCCCTCAAACTTCGAAATGGCCCAGAATCCCTCAGGCCCTCAGCACAAAGGCTCCCCTGAACCCCAAGCCTGTGGAGCACTCGAGGCGCAATGGCACTCCCAAACACCCGAACCTTTCCCTCTTCCCGACACAGGTCCCAAACCCCAAACACCCTCAGCACCCTCACTGTTCTCGCCCCTCAGCTCTCTAAGCCATAAAGCCCTAAACCCTAAAACCCTAAACCCTAAACCTAACAACCCCAAACCTTAAAAGCGTGAATCCTCAAAATCCTAAATCCCTAACACCCAAAAACCCTCAAACCCTCAAACCCTAAACCCTACACCCTCAACTCTCAGTCCAAAACTTCCCTGACCCCCCAGCTTCATGTTCATCTGCAGCCGTTGGGCTTGACGAGAATTTGGGGGTTCAGGGGGGGGGTTGAGGGTTTGGGGTTTAGGGTTAGGGTTTAAGGTTTTGGGGTTTAAGGCGTTTCAGGGTTAGGGATTCGGGTTTAGGGCTTAAAGGGCTCAGGGGTTTGGGGCTTAAGGGGGGTGTCTTCAGTCTTAGGGAATTTAGGGTTTTGGGTCTCTTATGGCTGAGGGTGCGTTGCAGAGTCTGGCATGAGCCCTTTACCTCGGAGCCCCACAAGTTCGGACCCTTAAATGCCCTGAGCTCTACGATGCCGCGCCCTCAACCCCAACCCGGCTTGGAGGTTCATGTGTACTTATGAACCCCATGATAAGTATACTTGTAAGCCTACTTCGGGGAGGCTTCTAAGTACAGTGATAATTGGGTTAGGAGTACTCTGAACCTCCAAGAAACCCTAAACCCTAAACCCTAAACCCTAAACCCTAAACCCTAAACCCTAAACCCTAAACCCGAAACCCGAAACCCGAAACCCGAAACCCTAAACCCTAAACCCTAAACCCTAAACCCTAAACCCTAAACCCTCAACCCTACACTGCACGTCTTGTCCTCGGAGCGCCCGATGCAGCCGAGCTCTGGCCCTGCCCATGTCACTGAGCCCAGGCCAGGAAGCCCTGAACCCTCAATAGCAACAATCATAACACTAGTACGATTAGTAATACTACGAGAAATAATAGCAATATATAGCAATAATATTAGTTCATAGAAATAGCAATCATCATAGTCTTTCTGGTCTTTCTGTACTATTAGTAGTAGTAAGGGTATTTTTTTTATATGGTGGGGGGGGGTAGCGTCTAAGCCCAACCCTAGCGTGCTGGGTGGGCGTAGCAGGGCTTGGGGTGTCAGGGGCGTTCAGGTTTCAGTGGTTTCAGGGTTTTTGATTTAAGGTACCTTGCCAAAGCCCGGCAGCCGTAAAACTCTACATAGGCTGAACGCCCCCCTTGACCCCTTAGGCCCCCTAACCCCCGCTCAACCCTCAACCCCAAACCCCTGAAAGCCCCCTAAGCCCTTACAACCCTTAAAGGCGCCCAAACCCTAAACCCGAAACCCTAAACCCGAAACCATAAACCCTAAACCCTATACCAAACCTCTAAAGCCCCAAGCCCCGAAGGCCCTAGACCCCGTAAGCCCCTTAAACCCCTAAGACTCTTCTTAAGCACCCCGAAACCCGAAACCCTAACCCCCAAACCCTAAAGCCCTACAGCCCCTTCGACCCCGAAGCCCCAAACCCTAAACCCTAAACCCTAAACCCTAAACCCTAAACCCTAAACCCTAAACCCTAAACCCTAAACCCTAAACCCTAAACCCTAAACCCTAAACCCTAAACCCTAAACCCTAAACCCTAAACCCCCAAACCCTACGGCAGGCAGGCGACGAAGGCTCTGACGGCGCTCGCCCGTGCTGCGGCATGGCAGGCGCAGAGCCCAAGGGATCTAGAATCTCGAGACTCGGGATTCATCACATTGACGGAGACATAATGTGGGGTGGCCTCTTTGCCCTAAGCCCTAAGCCCTAAGCCCTAAAAGCCCTGAACCCTAAAAACTCTCAGCCCTCAGCCCTCAGCCCTCAGCCCTCAGCCCTCAGCCCTCAGCCCTCAGCCCTCAGCCCTCAGCCCTCAGCCCTCAGCCCTCAGCCCTCAGCCCTCAGCCCTCAGCCCTCAGCCCTAACCCCAAGCAAAAAGAAGAGCTGCGGCAGGAGTCGCTGGACTTTCTCAGCTCCTGGCTCCATCGCCAGCTTCACCTCAACGCCAGAGACCCGGCAACTTCCACCATGCCTGGGGCCGCTGCTCCAAAACCCTTCTTGCGGTTTAGGGTTTAGGGTTTAGGTGAAGGGTTTAGGGTTTAGGGTTTCTAAGTGATTGGAAGCCTGAAGCAAGGTGAACGTCTCTCGGCTGTTTCGCATTTGCTTGTGGTTGCCCCAGCTGAGAGGCACAGCTGGACCCCCCTCTGAAGCTTCTGGTTGACTCTCGGGAGGCCCCCCCTGAGAAGTGCCAAAAGAGAGCCGGAGCATGCACTCGTGCAGCCTCGATGCTTCGCGCGCAGAGGGACAGCCGGAGTAGCGTTGTGCAAGCAGGGACGGCCCTCCTGCTGAAGTCTCGGGGGGGGCCGTGCTGGGTTAAAAGGCAAATAAAGAGTTTACCCTACATCTCTGCAGCTGTATCTCTTTATCTTTATCGATATCCATGTCAATTTCTAGTTCTCTGTCTGTTTCTATATGGGGTTTTCCGGAAATACGGGTGCCCCTGCGTTGGGAAATACCATAAAAGCGCCTCCCCCGACATCAGGCCCTCCCTTTGCCAAGGTGATCCACTGCAGCTCCGTCCTCACGGCCTGCGAGACTTAGATCGATGGTGTTGGCGGTTCTAGGGCCTAGGTCCGCCTAATGGACACACATAGCGGGGGGGGATCGAAGCCCTTGGCCCTAAGGACCCAACGCCCAAGAGCCGGAAACCCCTGGGCTAAGACCCGAAACCCTGACTCGACAAGCCCTTCCCTCCCAACCTAGGGAGCTAGGGTTAGTCAGTTGTGTTGGCAATGTCTGGGAGCTGGGGGCGTTGTTTTGGATGTTTTGTTTCTTCTTCTTCTTCTTTTTTTGCGGGGGGGGGGGGGGGGGGGGGGGGGTGGGGGGTCAAGGGTTTAGGAGTTTAGGGTGTTGTCTCTGTGTAGGGCTTGCTTGAATTCTCATGGGGTGTTGCAAGTAGGGTGGCATTGCTACTTGGTCTTCAACAGACCTACTTCTTTCTGCCTTTGTGAGCCTTCTGATTGTCCCCAACCCTCTGAACCCTCGACTCCCTGAAGCAACTCAAGCCCTAAAACCCCCAAAACCCCCAAAACCCCAACCCTGAACCGCCAGCCCCCAAACCTTGAATTCAAACTTCTACACCGAAACTCCTAAACTCATGGTCTGTGAAACCGTAGAGGTA